AGAGATTATCAAGGGTTAGGCTAGGAAGTGCCTCGAGCCATTCATATCCGCCATATTTATCGTTTAATTGAAGTAGTTGAATATCGCTGATATCGGAGGGGTTAAGATTATTTTGATTCTTTATAAGGGGTTCCAAGATTGATTTATTAGAAATTTCGGTTGGGAATGTTTGACCATCTGGGGTTAGTAGATTCCATTTTTCTATTGCTACTGTTAAGAGATCGTCATTGGGGGTTATAAATGATGAGATCGCGGAATTGAGCGAAAAGCGATTAGAGATAAAAAGAGATAGGGAGAGTAATTCTAAGGGGATTAGGTCGATACCGCCTAGTTTAGCGGGTAATTGAGCAAGGTGCCAATTAAAGTCTGATAATGGAAGATTAAGGATCCTTTCCATTAAGGTCTTTAAGCGAATATTATGCTTGGTGAAAAATTCTGAGGAGGTGAATGAGGAGGATGAGTGGAAGAGGTGTGAGATTTTAGGTAAATATAGGCACTTTTTTAATAGATAAAAAAGTTGGTGCGATGGGATATGATTGATGAACTTTTCCAAGTTTTGCAACTCGAAGAAGGTTTTATCGATAGTTTTTTCCGAGATTTTATTATTTAGTAGTGGGGAGCCCAAGAGTTGGATATCTTCGATTTCGATAATATTGTAATAGTTAAATGAATCTAGGGGAATCTCGGGGTTGAGTATGCAAATTTCTGTTTTGGTTTTGTTAAATTCTAGGCCTATTTTGGGGCATTCTCTTTCGAGGTGGAAGAGGGCTTTGCTTATTTGATGTTGGTTACCGCAGAGAGTGCCATCGTCTAGGTACCATAAATTAAGGTCTAGATCAAAATCAGATTTGAGATCTTTCATCATATTATGGATGGCTAAGCAGAAAAGTATAGGGCCTAGGGGGTCGCCCTGCTGAACACCCTCTTCTGAGTATATAACGCAATCATTGAAAATGAGGGGAGTGCTATTGGAATAGCAATGTCAACAATGCGCGAGTATTGGGGGAAATTATCGTAAAACGATTCGAGAGCCGAGGAACGGGATATAGTATTGAAGGCGTTTTGAAATCAATTTTGCAAAGAACGGAGTTTAAAGGAGGATGTTGTAGGTAGATTCGGAGACAGTGAGAGGCTATATCTACGCCTCCTTTTGTTCCGCAGCCTAATTGGTAATTGCCAAGCAGGGAATGAGTAACGGTTTTTATTTTTTTTGCGATGATTTTGGTAATCAGGCGTCTGAAGAAAGAACCGATAGCTATTGGGCGGATACCACCTTTCGGCTTTTCAAATGCAATCAAGTTAGCTCCAAATATTATTTGATGAGCTAATGTGGGGATATCTCTAGTGATTATATTATTGAGGAAGGATGTAAGTGAGTTAAAAAAAACTATTTAAATTGGGAGATTTTAGAAATGTTTGGAAGTAGGAAGGTCTATAGCCATCAGGACCTGCTGCTGAAAATTTATTAAATTCGTTTATAGTGTCACGTATATCTTGGTTTGATATTGTGAGAGGAGGAATATTGGGCGGAGGATTTGGTAAGCTATTATAAGAAGCTCGTGGATGGAGAGATTTTAGGTTTTAAAGAGTCGCATCATTAGATGGGGCTAGTTTTGATTGTGAGGAGATTAATTTTTGGGCTCCGCAGACGTCGCCTTCATTTATTTTTTTGGAAATTTTGTCACAGGTTTGAATGAAACTTTCATAGGAATTATTGGTATATTTGATGTGTTCAAGAGGTGTTAAGTAATCTATATTTTTAAGTCTGTCTTTTATAATGTTAGGTAGTGAAATAGATTTTTTTCTTTTGGGATTGAGAGACATTTAAAAGGGAAAGTGAAAAGATTATTCCAATGATTTGTGTTTGACAAATCTGAGTTAATATTATCAAATAAGTTGGTGAGATGGTCTGTGATAAGGTAGTTAACACCAGTGACCCCTACAACGGGGGGGGGGTCCGAAGCAACTGCTTCTATAAATTTCTATGGTGGTACTTCTTTTTTTTTAATTTTTTATTTTAAAATTTTTAAAAAAAAATTTTTTTATTTTATTTTTTTAAAATTTTTTATGGTCGATGTTTAGCAAATTAGTTTTTTATCCGATATTTCTTATCATAAAATTATTTTTCCACTTTCAAGATTTGACGCAAAATTAAAATTTTATCAAAGGGAATAGTAAAAATTTAAATATTAAATCTTATATATATTCATTTATAATTTTTAGAACATTGTCAAAATATGCCCAAAAATATTAACCAAAAAAAATATAAATGCTTATCTCGCAATCAAGTCTTCTGGGGGAACAGGCAACAAGATGGCAATATGATGAGCCTTATTAAACTTATTGCAGATTCTGAGCCTGTTCTTAAAATGTATATACAAGATAATGAAGAAAGAAGAAGTGAGAAAAAAATTAAGGGATTAAAATCTAAATTATATTCAAATCTGTTATAATATAATAACATAAATATTCTTAATGAAAAATATGGTTATAAAAAAAATTCAAAAGGAGATTGAATTCAACAGGTGCTATTCAATTATAGTTGATGACACATATGATGTATCGAAATCAGAAGCAATAGCTTTGATAGTGAGATATGTTGAAAATAGCGTGACACCTAAGCCCGTTGAAAGGCTGAGAGACATTTATTGTACGGGAAATACAACGGGCCTCGATATTTAAAAGAATATAATATCCAAGCTTGGCTCCATGAATCTACCCCTCGAATTCCTAGTGGGGCAAAGCTATGATGGCGCCTCAAACATGAATGGAAGAATTAATGGAGTGCAGGCTTTGATTAGAGCGGAGGCGCCAAAGGCAGCTTTTATTTGGTGCTATTGTCATCGATTAAATTTAATAGTTGTTCAATTATGCCAATCAGTAAAAGAGCTGCGAAATGTCTTGGGAATATTAGACGAAATTTACGTATATTTTAATGATGTTAAAAGATATGAAGTGCTCAAAACATGTCAGAGTGATTTACTGACAAAATCACATAGATTTTTACGCATCAAGAATACCACTCGGTAATATTATCTTAATTGTTTCGATATATAATGTTTATTTTATATTATAGAAGCTGGCTAACATCATATGAGGCGATTGTAAATTTTTTCCTACTTTATGATGCTTTGAGGGCAGCTTTGGCAAATTTAAAGGATACTGAAGATCCTGCCACTTCCACTATAGTCTATAGAATATAAATTTTTTATTTTATTTTATTTTATCACTATATGTTTTGGATAAAATATTGTTGATAACAAGCTTGGCTTGTACAAAATTGCAAACTATTTCGAAGAATATAGGGTTTGCAATAAATCAAATTCAATTGGCAAAAGATTGCCTGATTAATATGAGATGTATAATTTAAATTATTATCTTTTATTATTTTATAATCCTAAAATAAAAAATAACACTGAATTTTTGGATGTCTTTTCCAAAGGCCCAAGATTTTATGAAGAAGAGAAATTTACCTTTTGATTTTGAAAGTTCAAGACTTCAAACATTACAATCCAAAAAGGAGAGGTATATACATACTTTCATCATTAAATATAATATTTTATTTTAGCTTTAAAATCAGTGTGTTTTATGCTGCACTTGATTTAATTATTATGCAGTTTAGTGAAAGATTTTACGATGAATGGATAAAATTTTTGAGTCAAACATCATTTTTTTACCCCAAAGGGAATGGCGGAAAAGGCAATTGTTAAAGATGATATCAAGGATATCTGCGAATTTTATCAATTAAATACAAGTCAAGTTTTTGAGGAAATGTTGATGTTTAGAAATATTTATAAAATGGCTAAAACGGGGGACGTTACTCGTGACCTAGAGGTTAAAGAAGATTTGTCAGATTCTGAGAATTGTAAATTTATTTAATTAAAATATTTTTACTAATACATTATTTAGCTATGATGATAATAATTCTAATATGAATGATTCAGACTTGAGACACTATTCATTTATTTTACCTTATCGTCTGCTTATAAATTTTTCTGCTTTCCCAAATTCAACAATTTTATATAAATATTTATTATTCCTACATCATGTACTGCCGAAAGGGTCATGAGTAAAATTAAACTCATTAAAACAAGACTTCGTAGTGTCATGAAAGATCCATTTTTTAATAATTTAACCATTTTATCAATGAAAAATAATTTATTTAAACAATTAAATATTGATAAAATTATATCTTTTGCTTTCTCTTCCCCTAATTTATCTAAATTATTAATTTAAAAATAATATTTTTAAAGCATATATTTTTTACATTATATTTATATTATAATAAATATTGATGCAATAAAAATTATTTTTGAAATTTATTGGTGTCAAAAAATAATTTACAATGGAGGGGGGGGGGGGGGGTACTTTAGGGGGTATTCTGCTTCTATCCCTCAAAAAGTGTAGGGGTCACTGGTTAACACTGGTTGGGATGTGCTTAATTGTTGGTGATTTATTAATAAAGATAAATTCTTCTAGTGATTTGTTTTTTACTTGTATGTGTTTGGTATTTATTGGGGGTTCTATAAGTTTTGTGCAAAGTGTGTTAGAGCCTGAGCAAGGGAGGGTTGTAGGGCCATGTTTGTAAAGATGGTCATCCTTTTTTATATTTATTAATTTATGGCAAGTTGGATAGATTCCTTTCATGGTAATGATGATGGGAAGGATTGATATTTAAGGTATTTGTTTATTTAAGTCAGAAACTGAATTTTGCCTTAATATATGTAGCCTTTTCTTTAAAGTCATAATTTTATAACTCCTTATTATAATTTAAGAGTCTTATTATTGCCAAGTTTTGGTTTATGAATCTGATTTGATACTTCTGAGTTTTTGAATTTTGGATAATTATTTTGTACTCAGATATTAAATATTTGAATAATTTAAAATAAATCTTTATGGTTTAACTCGTGGTATTAATTGAATTTAAACACATGTAAAAAAAATTTAAAATTTGAACATTTTATAAAATGGGCTTAAAAATTTTATTGAGTCCCTATAAATTTAAATTAAAGCTTATAGTATTATCATGCACTCTATTCTTTACATTCTTATTTCTTTACGATGAACCAAATATGAATTCGATCATCACATATGTACAAACACCACAACAAAATTTATTTGATGATATCCTAAAAACAGGTCTAGTTAAACACATCTCTAGCGGTTTAACTATAGATGGGTTTAAATTTAATCTAAACAATAAACATTTTACTATACTAAGTGGCTCTATACATTATTTCCGTGTACATCCTCAATATTGGTTCGATAGACTTCTAAGATTAAAATCAGCTGGATTAAACACTGTATCTACGTAATTACTCAATTATGAAAGAATTTTTATATTTAATTTTTATTAGATATGTTCCATGGAATCTACACCAAACCTGTCCCAATTGCTCTCTAAATTTTGATGGAATTTTAAATATTAGGTATAAATTTATTATCTTGTAAATTTTCTTAAATCCTAACTTAAGCATCTAGATTTAAAAATGTGCCCATAATATTTTTTAGAAAAATATATACAATTTAATTTTAAAAATTTAAAACATACTTTTTTGCCTAATTTATAAATGGAAATAGTATAAAATTTTTTTTACTAATGCCTTGTCTGCAAATATTGATTTGTTTGATAATGGTGTTTTTAATGAAAGTTATATATTTTTTAAGTATATCTTATTATCAATAAATTAAGTATTAAAATTAATAAAGAAAAGACAACGAATTATTTACGAAGATACATTATAAAATTAAAAATATATTTTATTAATTTTTATGTATATATATTATATAAAAATGGAAGCAGCTAGCTACTGTTATCATTATTTTATTTTTTAAATGGATTGCTAAAGCAATAGCTACTGGAAAAAGTAGTATGCCACTTCAACAACACTGATGGGCATATACTTATTTTAGCCACTTAAACAACACTGATTTGCATATACTTATTTTACTAAAATTTAAAATATCCTTAATATTTATTGATACAATTTATATTGATTATACTCCTCAATATATAAGGGGATATAAACCTCTATAAGATTTGTAAATTAAAGTTTTATCAAAAAATTTATGTTAAAAAATGTCAGATTTATGAAAATAAAATTTATGGTGATCTAATTTGATTTAGATTGAGTGTTAGAGCCTCACCCATTGCCCTCATTAATTTTTTAATAAATGGTTTATATATATTGTTGATCTAGAATTGGAGTGCTCCACTTGACATTTCCAAAATTTTTAAGTTATAAATGGATAATAATTTATTTATTCCCAATACATATAAAAATACAAACTAGATTAAAAAATATTAATTTTTGCCAAAGTTATTGTCAAAATTGATCAATAACTTTTTCCTATATTTTATTTTAAACTTTAATTTTGATTTTCTCATTTTAAACATTCAAAATTTTTGTGCTAGAAGTGAATGATAACTTATTTATTCCCAATATATATATATATAAATAAAAATTATATTAAATAATATTAATATTTGCCAAAGTTATTGTCAAAATTTTCTATATTTTGTTTTAAACTTTAATGTTGATTTTCTCATTCTAAACATTTGCACAAGTGGAGCACTCCAATTCTAGACCGATGATATATATTGATATTTCTTAAAAATATTAACTTAGAAAATAATTTATTTATATTTAATTAAGACAATTATATATTTTTTTTCCTTCATACAAATCATTTTTTTTTCTTCTAATATTGATTTAAATAATCAGGAGATTTTTGATGACGGCTCAACAATTGGGATTGTTCGTGATCTTACGACCAGGTCCCTATATCTGCGCAGAATGGGATTTCGGTGGACTTCCTAGGTATGTTTTTTTTTACCTTCCCATTCATATATACTTATATTACAAAAAGTTTTTTTATTCACTTAAGAATGAATAATCTTTTTTTCAAAAAACATGTTTTTTTTTAAATCGTGTTTTTAATCGTTTTTTAAAATATCATTACTAACTCACTTATAAACACCCGAAATTCGCGGGTAAGTAAATTTAATAAGAATCCGAGATGTACTCTTACAACTTGCATATACTAAAAAAATGTATCGGGTGATACCACAGATATTGGGAATAATAATAATTTACATATTTTTTTAAAAAAAGCAAAGTTTTAATGTATACTGATGGAATCACGTGATCGAGTCCGATCTGGTATATATCACCCCCCCCCCTCCCGTTAAGCCACGTAACTAGTGTTGTTAAACGGCTAGATTCGAGCCGATTTTTAAAAACGGCTAACTCAATAATTTGTTCAGTATAATATTACTCGAGCCTAAAAATTTTACTCATAGATGACACAAAGGTCTAGACATCAATTAGCGTAATCTCGAGACTTGGCCAATATTTTTCCTGGCTTAAATATTGAGTTTACCGTTTTTAAAAATCGGCTCAAATTTAGCCGTTTAACAACATTAGTATGTGTGGCTTAGTCGATTCAGTACGTGTATTACAATTCAATGGTTCTTGGTTCGAATCCAATAAGGGTCATGTTTAGCCGTTTACAATACTACCATACGCTCCCCATAATTGTCAAATTTTTTTAAGTATATATAATAAGGATAAAATTACAAACTCTATTCATATTTTAAATAAAACCCATTTTTTAAAAAAAAAAATTTTAATGTAAAAAAGGAACACTTATTATCTGTCTTTTTATCTATATAACTTGATAAAATATTTCCTCATTTTTTTTCATGCAATTCCGAAGTAGGGTCTTAAATGGCATTAAATTAAAGCCAGCTCCTATTATTATTACCTTACAGATTCCACATTAATTTTTTTCATCCTCTATGTAAATTATTTTTTTTTTATAATACCTATGGTATCACCCGATACATTTTTAGTATCGGTGCTCATAGAAAAGGTGGTAAGAGTACATCCCTGATTCTTATCAAATTTACCTCCCCGCGAATTTATAGCTCTAAGTGACAATTGGGTGTTTATTAAGAGTTAGCTAAGCATATTTAAAAAAAAAATTTTTGAAAAAAAAACAATTTAAAAATACGTTTTTTTATTTTAAAAAAATCATGTAATTTCGAAGTAAGGAAATGACATTAATTAAAGCCAGCTCCTATTATTACCCTTATAGATGCCACATTACTTTTTTTTCTTCACATTAATAAAAAAAAAAATTTAATCTTTCAAAATCCCTCATATTTTATGCATAAATTTTAATATTTTTTTTTTAATTTTATTATTTTTTTGAATTGATGGTTTTTTATTATCTAATAAAAAATATAAAAAGAATAAAAGATAAATGGGAAGGTATAAAACGTAAAAAAAAAACTTAATAAAAATTTAAGGATTTCATTTTGTAAATAAAAATCAAAATTATTGTTTCTCATTTTCCCTGGAGGAGGTTTTTGATAACGTGTCAAAAAAAAGAGTTATACTGGCTTATCTAATTATATTCCCTAATAATCGATAAATCGTTACATTTATTTATTTACTTTCGCGAAAGTCGAAATAAACAATTTAAGAAAGGAAAAATTGTGTTCATATTGATCGTTACCAATATCTTAGTCATGTTTGGAAGTGGTGCCCTCAATTTCATTAGAATCATTGGGGAAAAAAATGAGACAGATATCAGGGGACCCTAAAGAAGGACTCTACTTTCGTCAGCAGATTTCCCTGGAATTCTGCAGGGTCCAATTTTTTAAGCATTCGACTCTTCTCTAGAATGATTTGTATCCCATTTTTATTAAATATTTTTTTTTTCTCAGTTCTTTTTTTTATATATATTTTTTTGTTAAATTATTTAGTGTATATATCCTATTTTAAAATAAATAAAATGATTTGACCGTTAAAAAACAAATAAAATGATTTGACCGTTAAAAAACAAATATATTATAAACATATATTTTCTCGAGATAAATTGGCTAAATTTTTTTTTAAATGACCTTGGTCGGTTTGGCTGATTAGGTATTACTTTACCTTAAAAATTATAAGATTTTAAAATCCCCTTCTTATCACGTACATGTGTATTGTGAATGAGGATTTGCGAAGCGGGGGAATTTTTTTTTCTGTTATACGCAAGCGATTGCCTGGAAGAAGAAGGAAAAAAAAACAATCAAATATTATTATTTACTTTTCTCTAGTTGTTGTTAATAATGTTGTTAAACGGCTAGTTTAACTCAATATTTTTGCCAGAAAAATATTGACTAAGCCTGGAAATTTCGATTCTATATGTCTAGACCTTTGCTCCTTCTATGAGCAAACTTTTCAGACTGGCTTAATTTTTTTCTGGATAAAAAACTGAGTCAGCCGTTTTACAATACTTTTCTCCTATAAATAATGTATATACAAAAAATTATTTAGCGATAATATAATTGATAGCATTTATTATTTAATATAGGATAGTATTTAGCAAGAAAAATTTGTAAATAATTTTCCCTTATTTTTTTTTGGCGAGTTATATATTAATTTTTTTTAAACTTTTTATTTTATTGACGGTAATAATATTTTTTTTTAAAAAAATAAAAATAAAATAAGTGGACAGTTTTAGAAAATATTTTGATATGTTTTAATAGTGTTGCTAACTCAGTATTTTAGCAAGAAAGATACTGAGCCTAAGTCTCCAGATTTCGATAATATATATCTAGACTCTAGACCTATGTTCTTTCTGTGAGAAAAATCTTCAGGCTTGCGTAATATTTTCCTGGGTGAAGTATTGAGTTAGCCCTTTATTAAAAATCGGCTCAAAACGAAGCATTTTAACAACACTATGTTTTAATTAATTTTTTTTTTTGAAGTTGTTGCGAAATAAGTGTTGTTTTGAAAACAGCGAACTCAATATTTTATCCCACCCAGAAAAATAATCACGTAAGCCCGAAGGGTTTTGTTCGTAGAAGGAACAAAGGTCTAGATAGACATTTATTATCGAAATCTCGGGGGGGCCTAGGAAATATATTTTTTTTCTGGCAAAAATATTGAGTTGGACATCTTTAAAAATCGGCTCATTTAACAACACTAGTTTCGAATATAATAAGAATGGGTAGGGGTTTGACATGGAATTGAATTGGCCGATACTATGCACTTTGTCCCTGTAAAGAAACGTAAAGTTTGGAACCCGAACTTGAAGACTTGTTAGATTTGACTACTCGTTCGAAATTCGCGCTACTGTGAAATAAGTGAAGAACTGAAACTATAGTTCTACTGCTCTCACACCACCAAAAAAAAAACTGAATTTGCATAGCTCTAAATTTTCCACCAGAGCTAAAATCTTTTTTTTTTCCTCTTCTTCTAAGATTCCAAACTAAACACATGTTTTTAAAAACCTTAAAAAAACGTGCCGGGAGAGTGAGGGGGGGGGGGAGTTGTCTTTAGCTCTATTATCTATTCTATTATACCTATATTTTTATTAACCCAGTTGGCTCTTGACGGATCCCGATATGAAGGTGAGATCTAACCATTCATCCCTTTACATAGAATCGGTCAAATTTTACCTAGCTTCCCTGCTGGAACAAATCCACGATCTGCAATTCCAGATGGATAAAGGCGGTTCCATCATAGCTTGGCAAATCGAGAACGAGCTCGCCAGTTATTATCCCGAGAATGGTGGACAGGTTTTTATATCATATAAATGAGAGAAAAAGGTTTTTATTTACTAAAAAATAAATAATGGAAAAAAAAAATGTATCTTTTTTGTATCTTATTTTTTTTATCGTTACATAATTTATATCTCTTTTTAACAAAAAAAAAAAATAACAGTTTAGCGAAAATTAGCAAACTTTTATAATGTTTATAATCCTCATTAAATTATTTTTGATCCCTCCTATTTCCTCCGCAGGACGGAACGGAGCTGATTCAGGCCCAAGCCTACGTGAAATATTTGGTGGAAACGCTCAGAAATTTTGGCGCCATCGAATTCATGTTCACCTCGGACGGGGATAAACTATTCAAAAATGGGCGGGTACGCGATTTAACCCACGGAACTGGACGTTTATAAAAAAAAATTTCTAATATATAAATATATATCGGAGGCATACAAGACTGTCAATCTTCCGGTCTAGACAGGTCTTCAAATAAATTTTGTTATCCTGCCAGGGCCATATTTTCTTCGGGTCCGGATTGTGGTTTTTTTTTGAAATTATATTGTTTTATCCTACTCTGATTTTTTTAAGAATATGTTCGTTCTAAACATTGACGTTTTGTTTAATATATAATACTAAAGGCAAACTAGATTGACGAATTAATTAATTAATATTGAATGCGTACATTCATAGGAGTCGGCTGTAAGACATCATTTTATGTTCCTCGCGTAAATTAATGATCTTTAATCGATTAAAGATTCTAAAATAGAATACAATTGTTTTTTAAAAATAATGTAAATGTCATTTGGTCATCGTGCCGATTATTGAATGGCGTCGACGGACTTCTATCATTAAATTTAGCTATTTTCTATGACTGAATTTTCTGAATAATTTTAAAAAGAGAACATCTAAATACAAAATACGTACATATAAATAAAAATTATGATGAATCGAGACACGCCATATTGATGTTTCCCGTAAAATTTTTTTTTAAAAAAAATTAGAAATGAAGGTCTGATTTTTAAAAAATAGAAGAAACCTTCATAAAATTTATTTAAGAGTAATCAAAATGGCGCGCCGCCATCTGATTTGTATTGATTGACATTTGAATGAACGAATCCTTAGTTCAGGAAATATTAGTCAATTGAATGCAACATCTAGATAATTTTGACTCGAGCCCTTTTTTTGTAATGATTGACATCTGATTGTCGTCCATAAGGCCTTTAGGATCTGACGAATAAAATTTACAAATGGCTACAAATCGATTATTCCCTAAAAGTTTTTTTTTACCCGATACTTCGAACATCGTTTTATAAGAATATCTTCGAATTAACTTTTGTAGGGAGCGATAGAAATTAGTTATAAAAACAGATTGGTATGGTTTAATTTTATTTTGAACCAGGTCCGAGTTATTAAAAAAAAATAAATACCATTTTAACTAACCGGGGTTGGTTGGCCCAGGTTTACATGCCTCCGATATATATATATATATATTAGTATACGTATAATTTGTATGATATTTTTTGGTATTAATACGATTACTTATTATATAAAGGACCATTTTTTGGGAGTTTTTTGCGCTTAAAAAAGGAAAAGTTTATTAAAATTTAAAGCACACCAAACCCTCTAAAGGAAAGAAAGATAGAAAGAAAGGAAACGAAAGAAAGAAAGAAAATTTTAACAAACTATATATTTTGCATATTTAAACATTCTTTTTAAAGTATTCGAAGCGGTCAATTTCCAACTCGATCCCATAAACGCGCTCAACGTAGTGAAACTTAGTCAACCCTTTAAACCCTTATTCGTGGCGGAATATTGGGGAGGATGGTTCGACCATTGGGGATCGCCCCATAAAACTTTTAAAACCGATGGTATAAATTTTATATCTTATTTTTATTACCGAATTTTTCTTAAAATCTAACTTGGCGAAAACTCGTGGTTCACACGTGACAGGGCGGCCATTTAACCACCGGATGATCGAGTTTATACGAAATCCTTTTTGATTTAAGAAAGAGGGATCAATTATATAATTTTAAACAATATTCACTGAACGCGATTGAACCCGGGTTTAAAAATTCGGGATTCGGATCGGGGTTTTTTCAAATTTTATAGACTGAATTCCGGATCCGGTTTTCTTCTCCGGGTTTGGGGTCGGTCCCAATCCCGGATTCTATGATCCTAACTAAAATTCATATCATTTCTAGTTTTTGTATATTTGTTTAAAAAAAAAATAGTTTTCACCCAAAACCTGGAATCCATAATACAACAAGGGGCATCTTTCAATATTTACATGTTTCATGGTGGAACCAACTTCGGCTTCAATAATGGCGCCAATGCCGAATCACCCGATAAATATCTCCCTACCACCACTTCATACGGTACGGTCTTACATATTCTTCATCATTTTTTTTGTTCCGTTTTTTTAATTTTAACGAATATTATTTTTTTATTTGAATAAAAAAAGGAAGAAAGGTAAGAGCTATTTTCCTATATCATAATTATTTATAATTGTTGCCTATTAGCTAGTGCCGTTAAACGTTACTACAAAAAAAACGCTTTACCTTTACTCGTTACCTCTAGAAAAAGGTAACGAATGGCGTTACTTTTCTTCAAAAAAGGTAACGACGTTACATTTGACGTTACTTTACAGCACTACCCACTACCATAAAAAAATGATGATTTTCCTCGTTAATTAACTCGTAGATTTATCCTCTTTTAAGATTACGTTATAGATTCCATTTATAATTTAATAGTATCATAGACCTGCAGAGGTACCAGTAACACGTCACGGCCTGACCTGTCCCCACCCGAGCTTCATATTTTCAGGCCCGGCACGTATTTTTTTTTTAAAAAAAAAGATTATATTTCTTTTTAATTTTATTATAGTTAATAGTGGCGATTTAAAATATTCGACCCGGTCCGGATATTTGTTTAAAATAAATTAAAATACGGCCCGACCTGTTTATCCGGGCTTCCTGGTCTCTGTAATATAACCCACTTTTTTTAAAAAACTATATAAAATATGTATTTTTCTGTTCATCCCCCATTTATTTTTTTATATATATATAAATATGATAAAATATCGGTTCGTTTAAAATATAGCAGTAGCGTAGCCGGAATTTTTTATCATAGTTTTTCCAACCCTTCTGGTTGATTTTAGTATATTGGTAAATTCAACTTAGAGATTTTTCGTTGTGAGCTTTTCTTTTAACTTTTATGGAAAAAATAAAGAAAAAGATTAGTCTAACAATTGGAAGCCCGTGCCAGGGCTAAAAGATTAAAACCTTTTTGGCCAACTTATTTTTCTTAAAATGCGATTTTTGAAAAATTACTAAATTCTGGCTTTTATCGATATTTGTTATCTAGTAGTATATTTTTATCGCGTCGATCATCGGCCCTTCCCCCCATTCTTTGCTTGTGAACACGCCACTTATAGGAGTGAGCTTAACATATTCATCATATCATATGTTCTTATCATTCTCCTATTTAATCTTGGCCAAAATCTATCACAAATAAAAACAAATCAATTGGATAAAATTAAATAATTTTCTTTCATTTTCTGCTTTCATTTATCTTTTTCTCCATTTGTCACCTTATTTTAATTTTTATAGAGAAAATATTTTATATATATTATTTAAACAAAATAGATTACGATGCGACCGTGAGTGAGAATGGTTTTCTTACCGAAAAATATTTTAAAATTAGGGAATTGATTCAAAATTATTCGAGCTTGTTGGGCGAATATTCTGGTGAGTTATATTATTTATCTTTCATTTCTTTTCTTTCATTCTTTTTTTCTTTCTTTCTTTTCTTTTTTACTTTCTTTTTTTCACTATCAACTGTTTATTATAAACATACGTTTTGTTATTAACATGCCTAGTTTTGAAAAAGTTGCCTCCGGTTCCGCCTAACATCCCCGCCGCGGAATACGGTAAATAAAACATTATATATTTTTTTGTTAAATTATGTTATTTTTTTTTATTCTCTCATGAATCATAATACAACATTGAGGGGAAAATGCATTTAAATCAGCTGATTTGATAGCCACTTTTTTTTAAAATATATCAGTTAATTACCCATTTTTTTAGCCCCTACTTGTTTATATGATTTCATCTTAATTTAATCACGTGCCGAAATAAATAAACGATTGAATAATGATTATTTTTAAAAATTATATTTAGGTAGAATTTATATTACGCATCACATGACTTTGGACACCATCATTGATAACATCAAAGTAAAATAGATTATGCTGAAATAACCTTATTTTTTTAAATCGATTAGTTAATGTTAGCGCTATTATGAATGATATATAAATGGAGGAGGATAAATTTATCTATAATATATATATACTAGTTAATTATAAAAATATTAAAATATAGGCGAAAATGAGATAAATTTGTGAATCACATATATTCTTAATTTCTGATTCATCTATGAATAAGGGATAAAAGTATGATGACTTGTCTTTCTTGGAGGGTAAAATGAAAAATAATATAACTAAGAGTACTAAAGCTCCCATTAGTCAGCATTGTTGAGTCCGTCAAATATGACGGGGAATGAGAATTTTCTGAGAATTTTCTCCTTACTCTTATGATAGTTTGTTACCTGTTATTTGAAAATAATATCCAATTTTTATTCTTTATAACCCCCTCTCATCTTCAGGTCAGGTCCAATGATTAAAACTATGTTTAAATGCTATGTTTTGAGGCAAAATATATTTAAAGCTTTTACTTGATACCCATATCAATATTATTTGTTAAAATATTACTGATCATCTATGCCTATTATTTAATATTGAAAAAATTCCCAAGCAAGGTCCAAGGCCATAATGATTTAAAATTTTCCCAACTCCAACCAAAGATTATAATGATTTTGGTAGTTGAGAACTTGGAATAAAATATTTTAAAAAATCATATTGAATTTAAAAATACAATCAAAATCAGATTTTATGGGACTTGATATAATTGTTTTAGGTCAATGTCTGATCCATAGTTAATAATAAAAAAATTCCCACGCGTTCAAGTTGATAATAATTTGAAAATTTTTTCCCAAGCGTAGCTCAATATAATTTATAAAAATATTTTCCAAGCCCAGCCCGACCCATTATAATTTTAAAAAATTTTTCTTAAACAGGTCCAATCGATAATAATTTTGAAATTTTTTTCAGTTGCTAATAAAAAAAAATTATTATAAAAATATTTTTAAAGCCTAACCCGACCCATTATAATTTTAAAAAAATTTTGTCAAACCCGGCTAATTGATAATAATTTTGAAATTGTTTTCCCAAGCCTGGAACTCCAATAAAAAAGATAAATATTGATAGATTTAAATTAATTTATCATAATATAGTTTTATATAAGATTAATTGTATTACAAAATTTACTATAGAAGGGGGATGACTGGAAAGAATGTTTGTCTATCGAATGTTAAAAAAAAAAAATTTTTAAGTTTTCTTTTCTAAAAAAATAATTTAACATTAGAGGTATATACTCCTTCGATTTATTTAAATTAAGATGATAGGAATGTTGATACCAAAAATAAAAATTAACATTGATTATACGAAAACGTTCATTTCTTGATTAAGGCGATAATATATATACTAGCTAATAACCCATCAAGAATGGCAGGGTTGAGGGGTAATTAGTTAGTTTGTGTAGGTACTAAATAGCTTTATATTAAAATTTAGAAGAAAAAGAGGTAAAATTGTTGCAATGTAACGTGAGCAAAAGGTTTTAGAAATACCAAAATTTAAATTTATGATAGGAATCATATTGTGTAAAATTTAAAATAGAGATGCTTCAAGATTTTTTAATTTTAAATATGGGCTAGACATTGGCCTCAAAATTTTGTTTTGCAGACACAGCTAGGTCTGATCAAAAAACCAAGTCCCATGCAACTTTCCCATAATTTTCATTTATTTTTATTGATAACAATGTCTTAAATTTAATTTTATATTCCATTTATTTTTATTGTAATGCAATAACATATTTAGAATAAAATTTAAATTGTGATAAAAATCATATTGGGTAAAATTTAAAATGAATATGCTTCAAATTTTTTTAATTATAAATATGGACCAGATATTGGCCTGAATTTTTTTAAATATGGCCAACCCATAATAATTTTGTAATTTTTTCCCAAGCCTGGAGATAGGTAAATCTCTGAAAACCATATTGTTTGGAAAATTTTTTCAAGCTCGCCAAGGACCATAATAATTTTGTTATTTGAGAACTTAAAATATATAGAAGTCATAATTCATTTAAAAATAAAATCAGAATATGAAAGTTGCATTGGCTTGGTTTTTTAATAAGATCTGGCGATTTCTGCAAAAAGGCATCAGCCAATGTCTAGCCTATATTTAAAATTAAAAAATTTTCAAGCAATTCTATTTTATATTTTACACAATATGATTTCTATCACAAATCTAAATTTTATTCTAAATATAAAATTAAATTTAAGACATTCAATAAAAATATATGGCAAAATTTTATGAAGTTGCATGGGACTTGGTTTTTTGATCAGGCCTGGCTATGTCTCCAAATATAAATTATCAAGCCAATGTCTAGCCCAATTTAAAAATTTTGAAGCATCTCTATTTTTAATTTTACCCTATCACAAATTTAAATTTTGATATTTCTAAACATGCTCACGGTATGCATTACAACAATTTTACCTCTTTTTCTCCTAAATTTTAATATTTATATAAAATTTATTAATAAAGTATATTTAGTACCATACACACAAACTAAATAATTACCCTTCAACCCCGTCAGCTAGTGGTAATAAACGGCTGAATTTTGAAAATATCAGCTATTAATTAATATATATATAAAATATTTTAAATTTAATTATATTCAAGTTGGTGCATGCTTAAAGCATACGCCTTTGAAACGGTAGGTTTGTGGTTCGACTTTCGTAGGGAGTAAAAAAAATAACATTACACTATATAGTCTCCTTAAATTTTAGATATATTAGGAAGATACGAAAACGATCATGTTTTGATTATGGAGATTATATATTTTAGATATATATATAAGGTATTGGAGATCCACCGGGTCCAAATATGCCCCGTAGAATTTTATATCAAGGTTTTCTTAGCTGGGCCCAGCCTTAAAGATATTTTATACGAATAGCCATACCCAGTAAGTTATATCTTAATTTCTTCATAAACATGCCAAACCGGAAAACCTTTTCAAAAATTTCTACAGGTAGACTCAGGTCGCATCCCAACTTTAAATATCTACGATACATGATAAAATATATTTATAAAAAAAACGATACAAAACCTGTAAAGACTCCTGTAAGTTCGGATCGGACCCTTTACATGGAAGAGATTATGCGTTACTTTTACTCTGCAGACTCCAGCTTTTCTAAAGCGAAGGCGCCCTCCGGGTTTGGATACGCGCTCTATCGGGCTAATCCCACCCCTGTCGACGCTACCTCGTTGGCCAAAGTCATCATTCATTCGCGCGTGCATGATAGGTTCTATTTTTTCTTTAAGGTTGTCATTATATACCCCCCCCCCCCATCAATCCAAAAATAAATTTATTTGCATTCAGTTCGATTTTTATCCGACAAAAGAACTAAACCATTTGGTTCCCAAACATGACTTGGCTTGAATACATGTGATTACTTTTTTTTGAAAAAATTCTATTTTAATTATTTACTTAATTACTGGGAATAAGAAATTTCGATTTACCAGTAAATATCGGTTCAACATAAATGTCAAGGTTAGCGTTGGTAAACGGTTTGTTTTGAGCCGATTTTTAAAAACGGCTGACTCAATATTTCTTTTCCCGGTCATGGGTTACTTTATTTGAATATTTACTGATATGAAATGTTGTCAAAATGTAGTAGCAAATAATTAATATTTTTAAAACGGTAAGATAAATAAAGGTGAAAAATGTAGAAAATAGAATTTACGGGAAAGGATAGGGGATAAAAAAAAGGAAGCTAGGAATAGGGAAGATTATTCATTGGAAGAGATGAAACTTAGATAGTTAGAGCGAATAATGGCGTTAGCAAGGAAAAATATTGCGCAAGTCTAAAAGAGATTTTGCTCATAGGTTGGTTGCACAAAGCTTTGAACATTTATTATAGTACGCGCAAATTGAGCGTTTCAAACCCTGCTTTGCAAGGGTAAATCATGCCTTACAAATGGACTCGTGCATTAGTGATAAAATTACCGCTTAGGCGTTAGCAACCATTTTAAAAAAACGCAAATAAGTTTGCTTTTTCATTACTTTTTTTAATTCTTGGCTTCGTAATATTATACAAAATGTAACATAAAATAACTTACTTGTATATCCTAAAAAAGGAATATTTAGAAAAATTAAAGAAAATAAGAAAGCAGACGATAATATAATTTTCAAAGACAAATCCTTTTTTAAGGCAACCTCAATTTAAACAAGGGATGCGTTACGTTTTTTTTAAATTAAAAATTACGGCAAAACGTAAACGCTTAATTTGTGTGCACTTAGCAGCCCCTTTAAGAATCCGCTCAAATCGAGCCGTTTGACAACGCTAGTCAAGGTTATTATAGGAAACCAGGGTTTGGAGAAGAAAAAAAAATTTTGAGCAAAGATCTTTATGATTGATGACTAAAAATTATGTAAATTTAAATCAAGGGGGGATGTTTACTGGAACGATCAGCTGATGGGTGTTCTGAGTGACGCGAATTTTACTGCTGTCAATGTCATGATCGAAGATTCGGTATATTGACCAAAAAAAATTAATTTTTTTTACCATTTTTAAAAATCCCATTTTATTGTTGGAAATAATTGATATTTTTTTAAATAATTAATGTAAGCTATTCGAGAACGCGTTCCGATAGCGGCGTTTAAAGCGAGGACCTATTTATTTATAACCCATAGAACCCGACGTATTTTAGAAAGGAGGCCGGTTTGCTCCTCTCAGAAAATCGGGATTCCGATTAAGTCCTTTCAGTATTGCCGTATTAAAATTTACGCAAAACCGAAGTTTTAAAATTCTCACAGCTTAATATGAATTTCATAAAGCCTTACTTAAAATCTTTCCCACCTGAAAGATCATATAATTTGAGCGATGGAAAATTGGTTCAATTTTTTTCCTCCCTAACACTCCTTTTTACGTCCCCTGCCCCGCCCCTTAATGAAGATACTGTTTGCTAGGGTAGTAAGGTTTTCAATTTTTCATATCGATTTTTTTCTCCTCAAATCTAGTTCTTTATTAAAAGTTTACTAAAAAGAAAATTTTTAATCATGTTGTGGATGGATGGATTCCAGAAATAAATAAATTATAACAACCAGTAAATTCTATTTAGTTTAGTATTCTGAATAACTTTGAGTAAAAACCCACTTTTTTTGAAAAATATATTTGAATTATTAAAACACTATTAAAAATAAACATACAATTTCAAAACTGTGTTCCCAAAAAGGAACTAGAACTATATCTAAAAGTTTAAATTTGAATTTTTCGTTATATATATATATATAATACTTTGAGTTCATTTGTTAAATTCCGAATTTTGATGCCAAGATTTTTTTTAAAAAAACTTATATGTTAATAGTCAAATAATGGCCGTTTCTTAATTCTTAAGTCCTTATTAAAAATAATAATCCTACATGTTGATACTTCCTTAAAACAATATTATCAAATTGTTAAAGTTTTATTTTATTAATTATATAAAAAAGAATAAAGCCAAATCATACAAATTGGATATTTTGGTCGAAAACATGGGGCGAGTTAACTTCAATTACTATTCTAACCCTATCCCCGACTACCTTAAACTTGACAATCAAAGAAAAGGTGTGTGTGTATGTATATATTATAGTTTTTTGACGTTATCGTTTATTTTCTAATATTAAATATATGTGATTTGGAAAGAAAGTAAGTATAAATACCTTGATTTACCGGTGACCTCCCTAGCTTGGGACGTATTGATATCTTAGCTAAATTAAATATTCACATTTAAAACAAAACACTTTGACCTTTAAAAATACAGTTTTCACATGTGCATAGTAACTAACACCGTGGGAATTTTTTTTTGGGGGGGGGGGAAAGCTTTCCAATTGATTTGACCCCGGAAATCCTAACGAGGGGTTTTATCCGACAGGTGATCTCTTTAGAGATTTGTCATTCTGAATTCCTAAGCATCTTCTCTTTCATTGGATGACTTCACATCTTTTTTATTTAATTTGGGAGGGTGGGGAATCAATGCACCAATCAAAAAGAGGGGCTCGAGTATTTTTTTGTTTGAAAAGTTTATATGTCACTCTTTCTTTTTTTCGGTCAAAAATTTTTTATACCGCGAACAGAACACAAATCCTCTCGAATAATTCGGTGATATGTATGAGTTTCCAAAAAGAATATTTAATTTCTAGACTAACTCGATGGGCATAGAAAATGTCTTCTTATGATTTTTTTTTCTTATATTGAATATCCCCCCAGGATTCAAAAAATCTACTCTTATATACTTTATCTAAACTCTTAAATAGCAACTAGCTAGAAAAAAAATGATGACTCTAATAACATGCTAGTTCACCAAGTTGAGCTCCAAACCTAAAACGAATAAAGGTAAATTGCCAATAACATAGCATTTAATGCCCAAAATGAATTTTAATGATCTTCCTTATAAAAGTTATTCATATTAATTACTCGAAGACCTACGATCTGTTACGCCTTAGATTCCCTAATCATCGCATGTAGGTCCCTTTCATCCCATTTTAACCGCGATATCGCCCGCGTATCATTGAAGGACATTTTTTTGTCACGAAATAAATAACAATATTTTTTTTACGTCAAATTGTTTATCTAATAATTATTATTTTTTTAAAAAAAAACAAGGTATATCGGGTAAGGTTTCTTTTCAAGGACGCGATATAGATAAGTGGATGACCTATCTTATCGATTTTAACGAGGAATGGATGGAAGGGTATTTTACTGTTGCCATTCCATATAATCTTAAATATTTATAATAGAGACCTGCAGGCCCTAAGCCCGGCCCGGGTACACGGGCCGAGCCGTATTATAATTTTTTTAATATACCCGGGCTGGGCCTGAAAATATAAAACCCGGGCCGGATCGAAATAATACCGGGTCGGACCGTGCAAATGGCACTTCTGTTCGTCTCTGATTTATAGAAAGGAAAGACAAACAGAGCGAAAGAAAGAGTGAAGGATTTTTTTTAGGGTACGATTTGAATGAAGTGAATTTAAGTGTTAAAAAAATCACTTTACGAAATGAAATTTTTACCATTCATTTTAAATGAAAAGACTTCCCAGAAATAAATTCAATAAGGTGAATCAGCAAACCGTTACTGTCCCGTCACTTTTCAAGGCGATTCTCGTGATCGATAATCTTCCTAAAGATACCTTTGTCGAATTCGAGGTTTTGTTTCTATTTTCAATTTATTTAAAATCTTATTTCTTTTTTGTGTGTTTGGGAAAAGCTTTTGATGATTACTAGGTTTAAGTTCCACCATTATAAACCAGATAATATTTTTATGAAATTATATTCTACTCGATATAACCAATTTTATTAATATCAAAAATTATGAATGAGCTAATAAATATTACTTTTTATTCTTAAAACAAAACAAAAATCCAATTTTGAATTGCCATCGGTTTAAGAATTTAAAGTGCTCCACTAGACATTTTCAAGATCTATGAGTTAGAAGTGGATAATAACTTATTTATTCCCAATTACATATATAAAAATAAAAATTTGATTAAAAAATATTAATTTTTTGCCAAAGTTGTAGTTTTGTCAAAATTGATCAATAAGCTTTTCCTATATTGGATTAACATTTGCGTAAGTGGAGCACTCCAAATCTAGGCCGACGAGTATTATTTTTAACCGTATATAAAAAAACATTTTGCAACCAAATTCAATACACATTTTGTATTATGTAGTTTCTTTCTTTCTTTCTTTCTTTCTTTCTTTCTTTCTTTCTTCCTTTTATAATACATTACTATATAATATATAATTAAAACTTCCTATATTATCGTTTAAAGGGTTGGCAAAAAGGTTGTATATTCGTGAATAATTTTAACATCGGTCGTTATTGGAATATTGGCCCTCAGAGAACTCTTTACATACCCTCCGCTTTGTTACGTGTTGGGGAAAATGAGGTAACTCTTTCCTTTTTTTCTTCTTCTTTACCTTTCCAATCTTTTATTCAAAATCTTAAAGCGCGATTAAACGTAAGCTTAACTAATAGTGTTGTAAAACGGCTCGTTTTGAGCCGATTTTTAAAAATGACTAACAAAGGTTTGGACATCTATACGCGAAATCTTGTGGCTTAGGCAATATTTTTCTGGCTAAAATATTGAGTAAGCCGTTTTTAAAAATCAGCTCAAAACGAGCCGTTTTACAACACTATTAATTAAAAAGAAAGAAAGAAAGAAAGAAAGAGAGAAAGAATCATATTATTTTTAAAATTTATGATATAAATAACTATAGTAAATTATTTTTCTTTTTATTAAGTGTTTAATCTTAAATAATTTAGGCAAAGTGAATCTTGGATTCTTTAATCACTCACATTTTTATTTTTTAAATTTTCATATATTTAAAATTAAAAACCTAATTTTTATCGCGGGTTTTCCCAATTTTTTTTTTTTTTAATTTTTTTAAAATTTGATAGAATTTTACCGTTGTAAAAAGCGGGGATATAAATTTAAAATTGTTTGGTTGGGCCTTTTTGAAACCACAGACTATCGAACCCGGTGAAATATGGGCCTGGGGCGGTTTCGACTTCTTTTAGAAAAATATGTTTTTCGACGAAGTACTTTTTATCAAATTTCCGCTAGAGTTTCAAATTTCAGAACTTCGAATTCGGGTCCCAGATCCCCACTAAAAAAGTAGTATTATTTTCTAAACGTAACCTATCATTTTAAATCTGCTAAAATAAGTTAGTTAATCATATTAATCTTCTTCTCCGTTTAATGGCGATTTCCAGGTTTACCCGATTGCCCAATTTCCCCCCTGATTTAATCATTAGGAAATTTAGTAGCAAGGTTTTTACAACCGGATGCCCTTCCTGACATCAACCTCTTTAGGTGGTTTTTACACCCCATCAAGAAGACGGTAAACCTATTCTAGACCCTGACCACAGGGAACCTTTTAGAAATCTATTAACCGCCAAAAGACGTTGCTACTCCCCCTCCACGATGAGGCTGAAGGTAGTATTTTTTTTTGGGGGGGGGGGGGAGTTTTAAGGATATTAATGACCAAATTATATTGCGTTTAAAAATTAAATTAATACTATAAATAAAATTAACAACAGATCCTAGTATGGGAGTTGGAACGCATTGGCCAGAGCTTGAATTTCGTTAATAATCCAGTTAGGGATATGATTTGAGATCCCCGGTGTCGATGCTTAGATTTTCTATCGAACTTATTTTTATTATAGCTAAATTTTTTGTCAAAAACTAATACACTTTCTATTTATTTATTTTTTACTAGAAAAAATTATATTTTTTTTTATAAATCAAAGTATTATCATGCCATTTAAAAAATTATTCTAATAACAAAAGTATTATATTAATGTTTAAAAAAAACGAATTATCTCTGACAATCCTTTTAGCATCAAAAAAACTACTTAGTATTTGTATTTATTATAATAAATATTATTTTTGTGATAGATAAATTTAATTATTATTTTTGTGATAGATAAATTTAATTATTATTTTCGATAATTAATTCTTACGAATTTTGTTTCTATATTTTTTTTTGTTTCAAGCGATAATTCTTCCTCCATCCCCCATTCCCCACATTCACAGTTAGCGGCAAATTGGCTACGAAGAATACAAGTAATACATCATATTTTGTAAACTTCGCCGCTAATTCGCGCGGACCGTTAATGTAGGGTGATAATAACCGGTTTTTCTTCCTTTCTTAATAACTATGTAATTTAAATTTTGAAAAAAGTTTTTAAAATGCAAATTTTATATTTTATTTATCAAAATGCACTTTTGTAATAACCGTATAATTATAGTTTATTTAAATTATTTGGATGAACTTAATGTTTACTATTTCATACCAATTTTTTTAAAAAATATATATTTATAATAACCAAAAGGTTTTGCCGTTCAAAAAAACTTTTAAATGATTTATACTTATATAATGATTATTTTGTCACTTAACGCATACAGCTTGCTCCGATAGAAAATATTTTACGCGCGTTTTATTCAAAATTTAGGAAATTATGTTTTTTTTTGGCGCTTCTAATATATTTTTTTGTATGTACATATTTTGCAATGTTTCATCTAATTCCTGTTATTAAATCATTCACCAAGGCAATCTTAATATATTTAGGGAAAAAATTTATTTGCAAGAACGAATGTATATTTTAAATTATAATATGTAAAATCAAAATGTTATTCTTTAAAAAAAATTAAATAAATTTTAGTTGATCTACAAAATTCGATCCTTAAAATATAAGAAAATTTTGACTCGACCCGCCAGTTCATCAAAGAAAATATTTTGATCACACCCGAAAATTCAAGGTATTTTTAATTTTTTCTTAAAAAAAAAATTTCTCAGCACAGACAAAATAAAATTTTTAATATTCTCGACTCAACACATTTATTCATTTTTTTTGTTATATGAGCATAATAAAAATGCGGTGTCTGTATCTAGATACTATTTTATTTTACGTTTTTTTTTAAATATTAAAAATAATATTTGAATTATAAATATTAAGTTTATTTTACAAAAAATGAAACAAGGCAAATTTAATTAATTTAGAAGATAATATTTTCTAAACATCTGAAAAGAAATCAAATAATTTAATAAGAGATTCTTTGGGGCACCCCTTTGGGTGATATTAAGTTTTGACACTCATCAAATTTTGAATGAATTTTTTAATAGCGGTATTTTAATAACTTAATGATTATCTCAGTATAAAGTTCTTAATTAAACATCACACCACTCGGCCGTCAAATGCAACGGTAAAAAGATTAGTGGCTAAAATATCTCTTCACAGATTTCGGAAAATGTTTTTAATGAAATCTACCAATTATTACTTATCATTTAATTATATTTTGTATATATGTATTATCAAAATTTAACAATTATTATTTAATCATATATTTAGTATGTAGGATGAGATATCTATTTGATAAATTTCTTTCTAGCTCACTTCAAAATTTGAATTTTAACATTAGAATCCTGAACTAGGCATTATTCAAATCTTAAAATTGTATCAATATATAAATTTGTAATTTTTTTATCAGCATCCCTTTTAAAAGTATCTTTTAGCATGTGTTACAAGAAATATTTTCAATCCCGACCCAACCAGCCTGAAAAAAAAATCTTCCACCCCCTAAATAAAATCAGAAAAATCCGACAGTTCAGTTAGTTGGATTTCACATATCTCTACTTCTGATGCTTGGTATCGGTAGACCCCAAGTAAAATACTAATGAAATGGGAACATATTAAGAAATAGGGTTTGTCGGAATAATGGTCAAAAAGACAGGGCTGATGAAGCTAACTGAATATTTAGCCAAAAAATATTATTGTAATCCTCGAAATTTTGTTAATAATGTTCTGCCATATTTGAGCAAAATCTTCACGCTAAAATTATTGAGTTGGCCGTTTAAAAAATACTAGCTAGAAACAAATTCGCAAAAAATAAATAGATAAATACATCGAAACGAAAAGTTAATATTACGCGTTTAATCTCTTATTTCGATAGGATGATAAATAAATAAATGATTATTTTCAAAAAAAGTAATACTTGATATAGTTAATTGTATACATTCATATAGTAGTTATTAATAATAAATACATATTTATGATAATTATAATTACGTAAATTTCGTTTACTAATATAAATTAAAAAAATTATTTTTTTAAAAAAAAATCAATTAAAATAAGAAATGAATAGAAAGATCGATAATATTTTATTTCATAGATAGCGTTAAGTTATTAATTTCAAAAAAAAAATTAATATCGTAATTGTGTTTTTGACTTAGTTATTAAATTATTAATATGATACTCAATTTTCTAGTTCTTTTTAAAGAGTCACTGAAAATATAATATACATTGTAAATGGTGTGATAAATTGATTGCTACATTGTATACCGGAAAGGATAGGTGTATATATGTCTTACGAGTGTTTAACAATTTGACGTGGTAAGTAAAAGTCTCTTCTAATAAATATATTCAAAAATATCTTGGATTTTTCTTCTTCTTCAAGATGATTCTTCGGCCGAATCGAACGTGAAATATTGGTCGATAAGAGGCAAATTCTTTTTCTCGTTGCATGCGCGATTCGCCAGATTTTGGTTCAAAGTCGATGGATAATTCTTGAAGCCATCTTTGGATGTTTCGTTTGATAGGGCTTCCCCTATGAAATCGTCTATGATGTATTTTTCCAGGCTCGACCTGACTTCCGGATTTTTCCCCGATCTTTCCTCCCTTCTCTTATCATCGTTTCCGTATGTCGGAGTGGAACGACGACTGGGTGAACGCGTCCTTCTTTTACTTCCGTACGAACTTTTGTGACTACCGGATGATGTGGAGGAGCGAGAACTTTTAAGAGTACCCGAGGAAGTGCGGTGAGAACTTTTATGACTCCTAGAGGATCCGCGAGAACCCGTGTTAGATGTGTAGGAGTCTGAAGAGCTTTTACTGCTGTACTTTCTCCTACTTTTATTACTTTTGTGGCGACGTTTAGGGTTCCTTTCCAATTCTCTTTGGATTAGCAATGCCGAGAGTCTCTTTTTTGCCTCCTTGGAGATGGGTTTTAGGTGCATAAAGTTGCAGAAATCGCCCCGATCGCAGGTCCAACTAATAATCAAATAATAATAAAGGATTTAGTTGATCATTCCGTTTAATATAATTTTAAAGTTAAAATTACTTGCGAATGCTGATATCGACCAACTTACCTACACATTTTAAACTCGTAAAATAATTTAATGTTGTTTAAAGTAGTATATATATATAAGTATTTGAGGTTGGCGCGAGCCATGGAAATTGCGCATATAATATCTTTACAGGGCTTAAGCAAAAAATAATTATAGGCCAGGTCAAAATAACTATATAGAAAATTTCAACCGGCCAGTTTGAATGGCAAAGACTTACATATAATCCCCTTTTAGGATCAGAAAAGATTTGGCCGATCATAAAAGATTCCTTAGACCTTATTCTTTTACATTCCTTTGAATCAAGTAAGACAATTTTTTATGATATCAATTTCATTTTAAAAAAACATAATTCCCAATTATAGTATACATTATTATTTTTTTTATCATAATTTAATATCGCGAAAACATTGATATTAAATAATAACCAATCCATAACGACTTACAGTTTTGATTAACAACTCGTATAATATTATGATGAAATATAATGCTATATAATCCTTTGAATATGCCTATATATGCTGTACCATAATATTAAAACTAAAAACTTTTTTTTTCCTCTTTAGTTTTCACCTTTTCTGATGGTAAGCTCCTTCATTATCTCTCTCCACTTTATGTTATTCATACTATTCTTTTATCTAATTTATACTTCTTCATATTGGCTCTAATTTTATGGCCCCATTGAAATTTTGGCCTTCCTCTTTTACGTTTACCCATCACTTCCAAACTCTCAACCTTATTTCCTATGTAGTAAAACTAATGCCACAATATTAAATGCTAATCTGGAATCCTGCGACATGGGCCACTTACCCATATCAGCTGATCCGACTTTTATGGGCGAAAATATATATATAGGTAATATATGATAATATAAACTACCCCAAAAAAATATACGAATAAAATAAGTATACTGTAAAAAAAATTTTAAAAAATTTCTATGATTCAAATATAAACATTAGTATTCTGCATCGGGCCTAATTTCTGTTCCCGAAAATCCCGACCCGAAGAAGAAAAAAATCATTGGTCCGCCAGACTTGGCCCTGAATTTATATAAATATAGAAAAAAAAATTTAAATATTTTATATTAACACTTTAGTTTCTTGCAAGAATTTAAATTATATGTATCCATTTATTTCACAAAATTGAATATCGTGTTTAGAAAAAATTTAAGCCCCATCCGCACCAACCCGACATTTAAAAAAAAATATATATATATTAAGCCAGACCCAGCCCGACCAAATTTTTTAAAATGTGTCCAGCCCTAAAGGGCTTCGGGATTTGCAGATTTCTAATATTATCATATGTTGTCGGTCATTTTAATAAATCGGATTGGTCAATTTAACGATATCATCTGATACGGTAGCTGAGACCTGATTGGGCCGACCAAGTATTTTAAAAAATCGGCGCATGCCCACTTAAGCCCCATCCGGACCGACCCGACATTTTTAAAAAAATATATATATTAGGCCCGACCCAGCCCGAACCAAATTTTTTTTTAAATGTGTCCAGCCCTAACGGGCTTCGGGATGATCTCTAATATTATCATATGTTGTCGGTCATTTTAATAAATCGGATTGGTCAATTTAACGATATCATCTGATACGGTAGCTGAGACCTGATTGGGCCGACTCAGTATTTTAAAAAATCGGCGCATGCCCACTTACATTCCAAATTTGCTTACTTTCTTCATAATTTAATAACTAAAAAAAATGAATATCAATTTTTTTTTAAAAAAAAACCCTTTCTCGTATTGGGGACAACACGCCACGTAAAAATCGAAGACGGGCGATAATTCCGCGTTGATAGGCCTCCCATCGAACCATCTGTTGTTCAGGGCTAGTAGGGCTTTATCCGCACTCTTGTATCTCCTAAACTAAATATAATTTTAAAATTACTTTTTTTTTTTAAAAAAAAAGAATAAAATGTTGCAGGGCTGGTAAAAAATAAAAATAAAATTAAATGTTTTTAAATTTTTTTTAAAAAAAATCAATTATTGAAAAATTATTTATTAAAGTTTAAATACAATTTTTTTTTTGATTTCTTTTACTTGCCAGGAATGAAGAAGACAAAAAAATTAAATAATAAAACAAAATACAAAAAATAATAAATAATACAAAACATTTAAATAAAATACAAAAATAAAATAATTAAACTGTTGAGTACTCGGTAAAAATATGCTGAAGATCCCCAACCAAAAAAAAATACAGAGTTATATAACTCTTGGACACGTGATGCGTTAACCCCCATATATAGCGGGGAGTGTTGTAGGAAAACCTCGATTTTGAACGCTTTTTACGGAATAAGTCAAGTTTTAGCCCAAAATAAATATTACCGAGACCTCAAAATTTTGACTTATAAATAGCGGAAAGGTTTAAAACCCCCTTTTCACCAAATTTCGATGGTTAAGTAATATATTTTTTGGGGGCTAAATTTAGCAGTTTTTTGTATAGCGTCCAACTTTATTGATTTTTCATGCGTTTATTTTAGAGTAGCGTGGTCGCTCGCACGATACAGACTTTTAGAAGGAGTACAAAATTTGACCTGAAATTGAAATCCAGATGGGAATGGTGTTTTCCTGAAGCTAACCTAGATATTTATGTTACATGGGGTAGGTGTCTTATACAAAGCAGGGAGATGCATCGGACTAAGTATCCATCTATATTGTTAAAAAATGGTTCCTCTATAGCATTTTGAATAAAATTAGGGATTTGTTTAGTTAATTTTGCTTATATGCCGAGTTGAATGACGTGTGGTATATCATCACTCATCCATATGTTAGTAAAGAACCATTCGAGTTATAACATATCATTCTCGTATTGCACAAATAAGAAAAATATTGTTCAAACCATATATTCCTAATTGCTATATTTTAAAATTAAAAAAAAAGCATTTAAAAAAATTACTCTTATTTTTTATTATTCTTTACACACAATTATTTAAAAAAAATAAATTAAATAGAATAAATAAAGAATTAAAAATTATAAATTACAAAAAAAAATATTTTAAATTGTACCTATCTTTATCTGCTTAGAGTAATAATTACTAATTCTTAAAAAAAAAAATTGGAGAATATATTAACAAAATTATCTATTCCTTAAAATGATGATTTAAAAAAATATATAATTTTAAAAAAGTGGCACGAATATTATATAAAAGTTAAAGGATAAATAACAAAAAAATATCGGATTCAATATTTTGCCGACAAATTTATCAGTTATTTTCCGGTATAAGTATCGTTTAAATGCAAAATTATTGGACTTTTCCTTAATTCATCTTATGAATTATTGTTTATAGCGGATATATTGTAATAAAAAAAACAAAGAAAAGATGAAGCTTCAGCCTTTTATAAACAGTCGTCTCAGAATTTTGGGGAATGGCTAAATGTCGGCTAATTCGGCTCAATCTTCAGGGGCTCGCCGGAGAAAATCTCTGTTAATATTAAACAATTCTAAATTTATATCAGTTTCTTCCAAATTTGAGCCGCTAATCTTTTTAACAAAAACCCCGGGGCCAAAGTGATAATTTTCGGATAAAAAAAAACTTGCTTGATATTGCCGATTTCTTAACCGTTCTTTTTTTAAAAAAAATTTTATAAAATAATTAAAAACGAAAATAATAAACATTTATATTTTCTATCCATATAAAGAAATAATCGCGCGTAGGGTTATTAATTTATATCCGAGACCGAGACCTAGACCTACAGCGGTCAAAATTGTAGGCCCGGACAAAATTTATTTTTTTTTACAAAAAAAATTGTATTTTCTAGCCCCAGAAATATTCCTTAAATTTGCAAATTATTTAAAAAGGGAGAGATATCGAAAATCTGAGCAATAAAAAAAATGAATATATTAAACGCTTTATCGTTCTACGATTTTCCAATCGATTATATATAAGATAATTCATTTTTCAAAAAAAAAAAATCGGCCCGGTCCGGATTTTTGACCGGTATATTTCGGGCCGGGTTTCGGGCATGCTGGTCTATGTTAAAATTTTCAAAAAAAATACATACATCTTTGCCAATATTTACCTAGGCAAGAACCGTGCATTCGTATTTCCGCGCAAAAGTGTACAAAACCATTTAGTAAAAAATTAGCAAACTTGGAATGGAGTTTTATAGATATTTTTTTTTCGTATTCATTTTAACAAATATTTATTACTACTTTTTCTAATTGTACTACACATTTTTTGATGATTATATAATTCAAAAATAAAAAAGAAGGATATTAATTATAAGGTTAAAAATTGTTTGATTATTTAAATATTTATTTTAAATTTACTTAATTAATTTTTTTTAAATTTTTTTTATAAAACTGTAAAAAAAGAAATAAATAATGAATATAATAATATACATTTTTTTAAATGAAAAATTAATTACAGATTCTTTATATCTCCTTAAAATATTTTTAAACAATATTAAAATATCAAAATTAAGCTAATAATGACCATGTATATCAAAAAAAAAATTTATGGGACTATTAAAATACCCCTTTGCAAGAGCTAATTTTATCTTAAAAATATTTACTTTTATAGTAAGCAACAATCAAAAACAAATAATTTTAGGATTAACACAATCAAATATTTAAAATTTAGCATATCATATATAAAATTATGATATTAAAAAACTTATATTTTATTTTAAATCGTGATACTTTAATTGGTCTAAGATTAAAATGAGATTTTATTTTAAACTATATAATAATGAAAACCTTCCTTATATGCTTGTCAATAAAATAATAATCAGAAATGAATATTCTGGTATTAGATCAATAGAATCATTACTTGCCAACAATATGAAAAAATAACATACACAATAAGAACCATATTTTACTTTTAAATCGATCAATTTTTATTATTATTAAAATAATACAATTTTTTAGCACATAATTTGCATCAAAAAGTTATTACAAAGTTAAATTTATAAGCACAAGATAAAAAGCACAAGCCAATATGATACTGACCAATATCGTTAGTACTTAGCTGACAACTAAACATTTATCAGTATATCCCTAATCATAATTAAATTCAAAAATAAAGCTTATATTAATAAAAATTACTCTTCTTGCCTATATTAGATAGTATAGAATACTTAGATATTTAAAAAAAAAATATGGATTATAAATAACTGGTAAGGAAATTGATAAATAATAAAATCATGATTTAGCTTTAATAACAAAATATTAATTTAGAGATAGTACTCTTTAAAATAAATCAAATACTTAATCATTTTTTTTGCTTTACATTCTTTATAAATTACTTTTAAACACTTTAAGAGTATATTTTAAATAATAAATTTAAAAAATATATAATTTGGGAGAATTTTTATTATTATTATTATTTTTTACTTTGACATAAACATTGCCATATAAATGACGTCCTAGGTTTTGGCATATATTCATTTCTTCAATTTGTCCATACTATTTTTTTTAAAATGTGAAAAATAAAATTAAACATATGGGCCAAAAGTTATTTATAAATTTTGAATAGTTTTATTTAAATAGATGAAAGCATGCAAATGAGTAGAAATATTAGAAATTTTAAAATATAAAAATACATTATCAAACATTTCAATATATATTTAAAGGAGAGATCAATTTTAAAATATATTTTTTAACATGTACTATGAGTTAATATGAACAAACTTGACGTTATAAGCTATAAACTATAAAATTATTATATAAAAAATATTTATTTATTAGAACTAGTCAGAGATGCATCATATTTGGAATTTGAGAGCCATCTGATACATAGCAATCTTAGAATGATAATTTAAATCTAATAAGATATTTAAAATAATATATAATATCATAAAATTGAACCAATAAAGGCAAACAATGATAGAAATAAAAACATATATGAAAAGCAGAAGGATCAAATTTTTACCAATGACAGCTTTACATTTTTGATTCAATAATGTTTCCTACTAAATATATGCTTATACATTTATTTTAAAAATCATATATTAATTTATTTTAAACTTAAATTATCATAATAGAATGTCTATGAATTAGGTATTGGCTAAATTTTGGTATTATATATTTTTACAGAAAAAAATGTATATTTTTATTTAAACTAAAAATATTTACATTTAATAGAATAGATTTTTATTATTTTTAATATAGTTACAAAAAATAATACTTCATCTTCCAATTCGATATACACTTCTTCAAAAACCTCATCAAAATGTTTTTGCTCTTCTTCATCTGTAAATGTGGGTGCTTTTTCAATAACTTTAAAGAAATTTTATTTAAAATAAACTACTGTTTATTCATTAATATTTGTAATTTTAGCATACAAGTTTTAATTTTTATTATGTTACCTTGGCCCTTTAAAACTATTGTTTTATGCTTTGGATTATGATAAAAATTTGTTAATAAAAGAGTCTAAAATAAATTATATTCTAAAAAACATAAAGATATAACTTGGCTTTGAATTGGTTTTTTATGTTCTCTTGTACAAGCAGTTCCATGTCTGCAGGCCCCTATTTTTTTATAAAAAGGACAATTTTCCATAATTTATTTTAAAAAAAAACAAATGTTTATAATTTTAAATATAAATATATACGATTTGGAAAGGGTATAATTACTTGTAAATATTTATTTTTGAGTCAATATATGAGGAGAAAACAATTTTTTTAAAGTAAATAATTGCAAGGCTAGCAGAAAACCATTTCTTTCTAAAGTTTTAAGGTGAATGTATGTTTCAAAAGTTATATAATACGTATTGATTGTTAAGATAAGTATTATAATGTTCTATATCCATTTAAGAGAGTTTTTTTTTAAAAAAATTTTTATATTAAAATGCCAAAAAATTATTTAAATATGCTCTCCTCTGATTCTAAAAAAATATAGTTGCAATGTATTATATAATTTAGAATATAGTATTTTACACAAAATATAATTATAATGTTTGCTGTGTCTAATAAATATAGTTAATAAGATATTACTCTTATCTGGCTGAAGAATAAGTAATCTTCTAATAAAATTAAACTTGGTGTAAAGGGTTCTAGCAACATCTCACCCTAAGATTTGTAATTGCTACAAAATGGGTACCTAGTTATCTTCGTGCTATATATTACACATCTGGTGGAGGACTATTTATTACTATAAAAGATGATATTATACTCTAATTCATATATAATTTTGTATCAAAATATTTTCTTAAATAAATTAGGAATTGTTCAATAATAATAAACTTAATGGCATATGCCAAAACCAGTTGTTATTTTGGGTTTTAAAATTACATCTCCATCTTTAAAGCAAATTTATTTTAAAAATTATATTAAACTGTAGGAATTCCACCGATCGTTAATTTATGTGAATGTCCTTCCCCTTTCCCTTGACCCCCCTCCCATTCACTTATTTGTGTTTTTTGGATATTTTTTTGGTTTGTTATTTTTTTTTAATATAATTATTTATGAATAAAATATTTTAATATCCTTTTTAAACTCCATTTTTATTATTATTTCTTTTATAAAATATCGATAAAGTATTTTAATATAAACCGTTTTTTTTTTAAATCCCTCGAATTTCTTTGTTCATTCCTATTTTGTTTTTATTATCCAATAATATCCTTTTTAAACTCCATTTTTATTATTATTTCTTTTATAAAATATCGATAAATATTTTAATATAAACCTTTTTTTTTTAAATCCCTCGAATTTCTTTGTTCATTCCTTTTTTGTTTTTATTATCCAATCTCTAACCTCCACTAGTACCGTGAAAATGGTGATATCTATGAGATGCGCCCTAAAAGAGGTTATTAGATAAATTTATATGCTACTTTGATGTATATTCACCATCTCTGGTAATTGATATTCGCTCAAACTGGCATCGTAAAAACCCTCCTGGGACTAAATAATTTATTCATTTATAATATATTTTGGTGTTTTCTTGAGATCTTGATTTTAATTAGTGGTCTTGAGGGCCGTTAAAATAAATGTTTAGATTATATTCTTTATTTAAAAGATCGCCATAATTTAAAAAATAAATATATGACAGATTAATACATATATATGTGATGACCGGGTGATTTATCTTTTAGCTTATATATTTCTTAAAATTTAACTTATTTTCTTAAATAATTGTAAGGTTTTTATTAGTAGTGTTTACAAAACTATATATATAATATTCAGATTAATTATATTTTGTTAAAAAAAATCAAAGCTTATATAATCTGAATAAACGGACCGGATATAATTATAAACCTGAAAAAACCGGTATAGAACTAAATCGATATATATAATTGATCCGATAAACTGCTTATACATTACATTCAACATAAAATTTATCGTTACTTTGCCAAAACAAACATAAAACTTTATACATATAAATTAAATCCTCCCCACAAATTATTGTTGTAATGATCAAAATATTTTAAGTGATAATATAATTAATTTCAGAAGCAAAATCAACATGTTTAATAGCAAATTAGGTGGAACCGTAAGAAACAATCAATTCCAACCTCAAGTTAATATATTAAACTTTGCCATCATGCCTATTAAGAGACTAACAATTCCTAGTTCTTCTAAAGCGATTTGGGTTAAAATTCTTTTGAAAATGAAAAGTGATACACATTTATTAAAATTGATATTGATATTGATATAATTTTAAAAAGAAATGATAAAACAACTAAAATATTAAAACAAATATATAAAAATATGTAAAAATTTATAAAATGACTAAATAAAAATATATATTAAAAGTATCGAAGGCTCTAAAAAGAACTTATATTTTATAATAAAAATGTATCTAAAAAGCAAGTATAATTGTGTTTAAAAAATTTCCAATTGAAGTTTTTGTATAAGAAATAAAGATTTGCTGTTTATGCTAAAAAATTTTCGAGATAAAGTTTAAAAAAAAATATATGTAGACTGTGAAAAATTGCCGTTAGTTTGGAATGACTATTGGCTGAAATATAAAGTTATTTAATTCTGAATATTTATTAATTTTTTTTACTTTCCCCACAAGTAAGAGGGTCTGTGTTGATTGACGAAGGAAGAGATGATACGCAGGTTGCATCCCAAATAAGGGGTTTCCCATTGGACCAGGGAGTACAGGTTAAGCCGTCGGGTCTAAGGCCTTCTTGTAATGAGAGGTTGGTAGGTTCAAGGATGTTGGGTATTTAAGCCTTATTAGAAAACGAAAGATCTCGACACCGGGAAAATTGATTAAAAAATATTAAAGAATAATATATTATTGAAAATGAGTCAGAACAAGACTCTGCTACAGAGAGCTAAACGTTAGTTATTGAATGACAATGTAATGAATTTAATAAATTAATATTATAGATTCATTTTATTATTAAATTTAAAATAAAGTTAATATTGACTTTAAAAAAAACATATATTTGAATTTGACTTTTGACCGTGTTTGACTATATTTGACCATTCAATTGTCGGTCAATTGACCGAAACGTATTTGTCCAGTCAAATGCACAACCCTGATTTTGAGCACTTTACAGGAAAAATAAAAATTTTCGGACTGATGAAAAAAAGTAAACTTAAACATTTAACACTTTTTTGATGGTTAATAAAATTTAAATCTGGCAAATTATTTTTAAGCGCGGAGCTTTAAACGTTACTTTTTTAACGCCATAGCTACATAGGAACTCTACGATTAATATATAAAGTATCCCTTAATTTTTGATAATAAATTCATCATTATAAAATTTTAAAAATTCTGGTCTGGATTAAAAAAAAATTTTTTAAAATTTACAAATCCGAAAATGGAATTAGTCCACCTTTTTCCAATTTTTATACAAAATTAATATGAAATATAATAATCATAATGAATTATTTTAGATACTATCCGAATTGGTAGACTTGTAAATTACGATCCGGCCCGTACCCGGCCCGAACGGGTTTTATACCTGGTCGCGTCTATTTAAAAATATGGTTTCGGTTCGGGCTGGGTTGGCCTTAAATTTTAAATATGATATCATTACATTTTTTTATATTACATTAATTCGGGGCGGACCTGGGTAGACAAATAATTTTTATTTTTATCGGGCTTTTCGGGATAAATATATAAAATATATTTCTGTTACGGATCGGGCCTGCGGGGTAAATTTTTTTACAAATATTTAGGGTCGTGTCGGGCTTGGGAAATTAGGCCCGATGCAGATAATTACTCTGAATTAGTGATTGGAAGCGGGTCCTTCCGTTCCTGACGAGTCTTTTCATCTTTTGAACCGACCATTTTTACAACTAATTTCTTAAAAGGAAAACACGTAGGACAAGACGCCGCCTATATGTAATTATTTAAAAAAAACCGGGAGTTTCTTAACGCCAATTCCTAATGCATATTTTAGGGACTAGATGCGATGCTAAACACATCGATAGAAAAATTCCAAAATTGCAAGAATATACCAAAAAAAAACACAAACAATCATAAATGAATACGATGTAAAAGAAATGAAATATAATATTATTATTTATTAGAATATAGATAAATCTTCGTTTTTCAAATAAATTATGATCTATTGTAAATTTAAATTATTCTTCATCCAAGAAATCTAGCGTCAGCAGGAATCACTAATCTTTACGATCTCAGCTCTTTTAACTAATTTTAAATTAATCTCTTTTTTTTTGGATAATAATTTTATTAAAATTAAAAAATTTTTATGGTGCTCTAGTATTTGTCCCCCATCCCTAGTGACACTACTGAGCGTCACCAATTATTGCAATATTTTTAGAGATAATCCTTCTCCTGATTTGATAAAACTCATTCATATATTACCTTGCTTTGCATAGGCGTAGCCAGGATTTTTCTAAGAGCTGGGGGAGGGGGGTATAAATAAATTTCTGGGGGGCTTCCCTATATAAGAAAATAATATTTTTATTGGATAGCAGGTTAATTTTGATAGAAACCACTTATTAACATTATTCAAAATGAACTAAATTAAATTAGTTACAAAGAGATGGTATCAAAAAATAAGCTAAGTGCTATTGTTTCATTCACAATTGGCCTTGATGCTGGTTGTATTATCAATCACCTATTAAAATAATCAGTTAAAATTTTCTATCATTAATGAATGGTTATAAATTTACTGTTTGATCACAGTTAGCTTGAGATTCATCAGGCTGTGTCCAAAATATTTCAAAATAAACCTAAAAATTTATAAATTTTCGTAAATTAATAAAATTATAAAACATGTCCGAAATCTTCCATTTAAAGAAAAATAATAAATAAAATAAAAAATAACACGAATAATTATTATACTTTCATGTTACTTAATAGTTTTTTCATAAAAAATTACCCAAATAAATAAATTTTTATTCAAATTTATTAAATTTCTATTATATTTTTTAAAAAAATTAATTTTTGTAAATGACGAAAAATGAGTTAGAACACTATTTTTTTTTACTAAAAATGGCTTGTTATTTTTTTTTCTTCCAAATCTATTTATTTATTTATATTTTTTAGATTTGGACACAGCCTCAAAATTATGTTAATATTCAATTCATTACTAATCTGTATTAATACTTGAATCAAGGCCTCTTATTTTAATGGAATCTTTATCTTCTTAGCACCATCACTAAATTTAAATATTAATAATTTCATAATTATAGAATATACCTTCGTCTTATTCCTCTTTTATTCTAATTTTATTCTCTTTTGATATATTTTCTTGATTGTTACTTAATATTTCTAATTTCCTATTTTCACTTAAAATTGAATCAATAATTAAATATTTATGGATGATATATTTTTCAATTTAACAAAACATAGAATTTCATTTCCATTCTTTACAAGATATTTTTGATGTCAATAATATTCCACTGTGAAACAAAATTGTATTGTGTGTTAATTTTATTAAAATTTATTCAATTTATAATTTAATTTTATTTATAATTTTATAATTAAATTTTACATTTTATTAATACAAATAAATTATTTACTTTATTAAAAATTAAATTTTATATCTTATAATTTTTAGTATCTTAAACAATAATTTGAAAGAAAGAATGTAAAAGTTGATATTTTTTATAAAACTATTCATCATAATTTATAAATTTTTGGAAAAAAGCAATATATAAAAAAAGTGAACCAAAAATGTTTTTTAAGAAATAGAAAATAAGCCAAAGTCTTAAGACAAAATTGAAATGTATTATAATTATTAATAATAGATCCATAAAATTACTAAATAATATAATATATCAAATATAATTTTTTATAAAGTGAGTAGAGTAATTTTAATTTATTTATCTTAATAAAAATAAAATATAATTATAAAACTATTGATAAAATTAAATCATAAATTAAATAAAAAAAATTAAAGCACAATACAAACAGTGGAATATTATCTGTTGTATAAAATTAACCTCCTATCTTGTAAAAATATTTTACGACTATTCCCCCCTTAGGGAAACAGCTGGCTGCGCCTATGATATATGCATGCATTTTATGGACAGGGGATGGAGAGGTGACTAAGGAGGATATTTGTTATTAGCTTGAAATGATATTCAATGTGACAAATTTCTGAAGAGAAGAATTTCTCCTTGCCACCCCTCCCTTATGGCTACAACTATGAGTGTATCTTCAATATCTATTTTAACGTTTTAAATATTGAGTATATTAAAATATTACTAACTAATGAATAACTAATGTTAAAATCCTTAGGCAATATTTAATTTATTTATTTACAATTTCATTTAAAAATTATAATATAATATGCCTATTAAATATATAATGAAGAAATCAGTCAATAGAATTTTTGGTATTTGAATATATGCATCCTTAAGACGCATTATGGATCACGCACCGTGTATACTAGTATCTTTAAGAATGGGCTATAACCGGTTCGGGTGGGACTTTTCACGTTCAGTTGAATAGAAGGCTGTATAAATTCATGTTGCTTTGTAATGCGTAAAAAATAAAAGAAAGTTATGTCAAGGTAGTTTAATTGTTCTAATTCTTTTAAACTTAATAATATGCACTAAATAAGAAGAAAATTATTTTTTGGGGGCTGGGCGAACAAATATTTTGTTTCACAATTTCCCTAAATAATATGCTACAGGCTCAATTTCCCTAGAGGTGATTTTTAGGTGGCAGATTTTTGCTACCAGTTGTTTGTAGCCAATTTCAAGCTATCGTAAAAATATCAGAAGTTCTTTAACATCATATTATTTTTTAAACGTAGTAAAAATAACATTAATTGTCAATATATAGTATAGAATTTATAATATATTTATCTAAAAATTAATAAAGAAAGTTACAAGAAATAAAATATTCCCCCTACTTTCATTGACGCTACATCCTTTTATTGACTCGTCACTCAAATAGATATAGTTTTAAATATAAAAAATATAAAATATTTAATTAATAAAAGAAATCCAATGCTATAAAATATTATTTATTATTAAAATTATTATCATAACCTAGCCTATGGCTGGGGAAAAAATCTAATTTTTTTCAAAATTGGTAGTAAAAGATGATTTTTTCTAAAATTTAAAAAAATCAAAAGCAAATTATCAAAAAAATAATTGTGTATGATATTTCCTGAAGGTATCTTAAATCAACGAAGAAGTCAATTTAAAGGCCCTATTTTTTATTATAAAAATTTATACCTAGTGTGTTTAAAATTAGCATATGATTTTCGTGACGTTTTAATAGCACATGGCAAATCTCACTGAAAATATTAAAAATGCCCTATATGAAGGCCGCACAGATATAATCCTATCCTTATTAAGCATACATATGCAATATATATTTAATCAAATATCATATTTTAGAATTTCAGAATGGCAATAATACCGATAAAAAATTAATGGATAATCGAGTTGATCATGATGGTACAATGCTTCATATTGCTTCAAAGGTAGACATTTTTATAAAATTTACATAGATATATCAAATATCAGCTTGAAAATCAAGATTTAACCAGAGCTCTTCTATTAAGAGGTGCTGATGTTACTATTAAAAATGAATTAGGACTAATGCCTATAAATATATCATCTTCTAAAATTAAGAAGATTTATAGTGAAGAATTCTTTAGAAGGATATCCCAGAATGAGTAATATTTTACTTTTTAATTAATTTCTTTAACAAATGATTTTATTTATTTTTATTCAATTTAAATTACCTATTCTAATTTATTTTTGAATTATTGCAATTCAAATGATATGCTTCAATATAATATATATTATTATTACTGATTATCAATTTATTCTATGAAAAGTGATATTTAAAATTTATTTTAATACCTAAACATATTCATCAATGTTTTATTTATTTTTTTAAAAATAAAGCCTCAATGGAGTTAAAAATATAATTCTTGGAGGGATAGACATTAATATAACTATTCCATCTTTAGACAATAGTAATTGCATGCACTGGGCTGCCATTTTTAGTTCTCCTGAAGTGATCAATTATTTAAAAGGTATACATTATTGATTTATCATCAAATTGCTTTTGACAAATTAGAAATATTATAATAAGCTTTTATTTCAATTCTTTGAAGATTAAGATAAACCATTAAATAAAGTAAAATCAAATTGTGTTTAACATTTTAGAAAGGCAATATTAAACAATTACATTTTTCTTCCATGAACAAGACAAAGGTGCCAATATCAATTTATTAAACAAAGCTGGTCTTACACCCTTGCACCAATCCTTATTAGCTGAAAAATTGGAAAATTTTAAGATGCTAATCAAATTAGGAGCCAATCCAAGCATTTGCCCAAATGGCTCGTGAGTTTTTCTTTTTATTTTCTTATAAGGGAAAAATAAATAAAAAGAATGTAAGAAAATTTATATTATCAGCAGCAATATAATCCTAGAAAGGCATATCAGATCTCCCTTCCCTTGCCAGAAAAATATGACGAGACCTCTAGATTTCACTGATAGATGTCCAAACTTTTCTGCCATCTATGAGCTAAATACCCAGGCTTGCTTAATATATTTTTTAGCTAAAATATTTGATTAGCCATTTTAAAATTCAAGTTTTTTAACAACACTATAAACATTTTAAAAAATTGATACACCAAAAGTCAATCATAAATCCTAGTTTGGAACTGGAATGGTGATATTAAAATAAAAGAAACCAGAAGCTCTTAGAGTCAATAGGAACTAATACTTTATAGAACTATGAACCAGAAGCTCTTAGAACTTACAGGAACAAAAACAAATTTAAATATTTGCACCAACCCGGGAATCAGCTAACACTAAAACCGTGGAGTCAGTTCTAAAAAACCGGAAATAAAACTATAGTTTGAACAAGAAATATTATGGAAACGGAACTAGAACCCCCTTTTTTTTAGTACGGTCTCTTCACTTTGAAATTAAATTGATAAATTTATTTTTCCTTATATATATATATTAAAAACTTTGATTTTTTTTTAAAAAAAAGAAGCAAATACGCCAACCAATCATTGCGCGAGATAGCGTCAACTTTAAATGAGGATAAGAGGGCCTTATTTTTGGATTATATAGCCACTCTGGATGTAATAAATATATTTTTTTAGCATTATTATATTTTACCCCTGTGTCTTTTTTAACTTTTACTTTTCGTTTTCTCCAATCTATTTTTAATGTATGTGACCTAAGGTGTTTGTTCCAAAGTTCCGTCAGATATATATTGGAGCTAACGAATCGTTAAAAAAAATTAGGAAAGGAAAAGAAGCCTTCCCAGGCTCGCCAGAGAACATGAGGATGTGAGATGCTAAATCATTTAAAAAAAAAGGATCAGTTTACCGAAATGCTAAGGTAGTGGCAATGACATAAGATGATACCTAGACTGACGATGCATTCATAATGATTCATTTGAAAGCGTCGTTGAAAGCAAATCAGCTGGACCCACCATTTTGATAACCCGTATTGTAATTATTCTCATGTTAAAAACTATTAAATTGATAACTTACTTCCTTATTATCTCCATGATCAGGTAATTCTTTAATAAAGTTTGCATCAGACAGGAATAAATTGGGCTCTCGTTTAAAATTAAGAGTAACCAAAATGGCGTCCCTAGCTGTTTTTCCTTGATATACACTTTTAATGAACGAATTGTCAGTTTAGGTATTATTATATGTCATTGGGTAGTGTGTATAATTTGTTACTAAAACGTGATCTTAAATTTTTTAACCAGAATAATTTGTCAATTTTGTGCTATTCTTTTTTTTGCTCGATAAGTTAATTGTTTGATTGGGGATGGGATTCGTGGATCGATGCAGATACAACTGTCCAAACTTGATTGACGTTTAGCAAATTTTTACCTTAATCCTAACTGCGTCCAAGAGGTCAGTTTTAGAGACCATCCATATCCTGTGAATTAAATTTTTATATGAGAACATAACATTCTAGTTCCAAATCATTTATAGTAGATTATTCATGTTTTTCATTCAATTTTTACTTTGCTAACTTTGTTAGATAACTTGTATTTGATATATCCATTTGGTTTACATTCTCTAATTTCACTCTTAATATCCTCGTTCTCAAATAAGCTTATGATATTTTTATAATAGATTGAATCCATGTACAATTTTGTTATGTCATACATTTTGTACACTACAATGTTTAATTTAGCTATTTAATTATATTTTTATTATGTATATTTAAATTTTATTATTATTATGATGACAACATAATACTTTAATAATTGGTTGATAAAATGTCAAGAAAAAAAAAGAATTCTTGCGTGGCCAGAATGATTTAAATAATTAACGGCGCATTCTAGAGGGCATAACAATGTCGGCCAATGGCGGCTAACACCCAACTTTACCTATAATTAAAAGAGACGCCAAGTTTTTAAAACTCTTTTAAATAAGTTTAGTATTTTTCGATTAATTCTTAATTAGGCAAATATTTTTGATTGACATGTAGGATTTTGGAGTGGCAGGGGTGGCCTAGGGGTTAGATTACTGAGATTCAGCACCACCTATTCGATTTCAGCTAGGGAAAATTATTCCTTTCATGCAAGTTGGTAGTATTATATTTAAAATGGACGTTATCGCTGCTTTATAAATTAGATTAACTACGTTATATATCGTAGACCCAATATATTGGCCACACTTAATAATTAGTATTTTTACAACTCATCTGTATTCCTTTAGAAAGAGAGGGAAAAAATATTATTTATAAATAACGAATAAATTTTCTTAATAAAAATCCGAGCTCAAAATTTATTCTATAAATCGTCGCCCGAAAATTATATTATTCTATCTGCGCTTTTTGTAAAAAAAAATGATTTTTTTTTTATAATTATACTATTCGCTTTGCTCAAAAATTCGAAATATATATAAAATATTAAGTTAAATTATAGTCATTATGCTCTCCTATAAAATTACAAAAAGTGAAGATAGAATAATCTAATTCTCGGGCGTCGAAATTTATTTAGCAATTTAAAAACGGTTTGAGCCAATCTTCTCGAATTCATGGTGGTAAATTCCCGCCTTTTCAAAATTTAATATTATAAGTTATCGCTCTGTTTTTTATAAATAATAAATGAAATCGTAATAAAAAAAAATACATTTTGTGATATACTTGTTAAAAATAATAATAACTTGGCCTTTTTTTTTAAATAAGAAAATCAAATTTTAATTTTTCCTTGTTTTTTAGACTTTAGAAATTGCAAATCTGACCTTAAATGAATGTATTCAATATGATATATGGAAGGAAGGTAAGTTTTTCTTCTTTATCAAATTATCGCATTATAGTGCGCATGCGCACAAATTGAACGTTTTCAACTCAGCGTTTCAAAACGCAAGCGTAAACGCAGCTATGTTTAAATTGAACCGTTAATTTTTTATTGTTATTTTTAATATGAAATATCAAAATTTTAAAACATAATAAAAAATGCTGTCCAATTTTAACGAATGCATTTAAAGATATATTATTTGCGTTTTAAACGCTGCGTTGAAACGCTAAATTTCCTGTAGAATATTTTTTTTCTTTCTGATTTATATATATAATTTAATTTTTTTTTAAAAAAATTACAGTTAAATATAAACCATTAAAAACAATACGAATTTTTTTTTGCTGTATTCTGACATTACTGTCAGTTAGTTGGTGGTGTGTCATGGGAATTATAGACCATTAATCTTTCGTACGATCGCCTCATGCGATTTAGGCGAAGAAAAAAATTGTCTGCGCATAATTGAATGAAAGAATGTTCATGAAAATACTTGATTTTTTTTTGCTATTAATTGCATTCTTAAATATATTGTTTGTTTTTTCAAAGTTTTATTAAGATGATTGCAAAAAATGAAATATATTTATATTTACATTAATTTATTTGGTAAATAGTTTGTTTATAAAAAACAAGAAATGTTTTTTTTCCCACTACTTATTACAACTTTTCGATTTTTTGATGACCAAACTCATAAAAATGATTATTTATTAAAATCTAAAGATTTCTCATTGCCCCTTGGAGCATTCTGATTCTGACCATAATTCCGCGCCAAAAAACGATGGAGATATGAGTTCCAACAACGTAATCAATTATCCGCAAGGTCAATCTAGCCATTCCGAGGCGACGGATCAAAGCTTGACTCACGCCCAAATGGAGGAGCATTCGTTCCTGAAAGTGCTTTGGCCAAAACCTAGGAAGGTTTTATTTTTAAAAATATATTAATAATTTTGATTTTAAAACAACCAGGAACTGGAGAAATAATTTGATGTCAAACTGATTTATAAATCTGAAAAAATGTTAATATTCAGGGTTCAGTATAATAATACAAGTTTTAAATATGTAATTATATATGTGTCCTACTTTTCATTTCATAAATTTAGCAGAAGGTTGTCTATTACGTCATTAAGCTGGTAATGTGATTAGAATCACTTTTTTCTTACTAGATCTGTATGTAGTTTTTTGAATGTCCCGAAATTATCGAATCAAGCAAAAAATAACGTCTTCCATTTTACAAATATTTTACCTTTATCTTCCATCGTATTATTTTCGTTTATTGAATACGGACGAGATAAGAATATCCCCTATTAGGTAGTGCTAATGGGTTAGCCTACTCTGAGGACCACAATTTGTTGTTATAAGTAAACATCTTTTTAGTGGGTGGTTTGCTAAATTTTTACCCTTGCTAGTGATGTCATCATACCATTTGAACGTATCCTTTTTGTCCTCGTTCTCGTTGCATATTATGGTAGTAATAGTTACCATTATTGTTTTTTAATTTATAGCGAATAAAATAATCGAATATTAGGAAATAAATAAATGGATCGGAATAATTTAAATTGTATCGGAATGGATATTATAGAAAATACGACGAATAAAATTTGCGTTTTATATTTGTTTTATATCGGACGCGTTTTTTTTTACATTTTTATTTTATTATAAACGATGATGGTATGTACATTTGTACATCCATCTCTCTCTTTTAGAAAATTAAAATTTTGTTCCTTTATTTTATCAAGCTTTTTTACTTTGAATAGAAAGAAAGAAAGAAAGAAAGAAAGAAAGAAATAAAAAATATTAAAAAAAAATAAATAATTTCCTCGTCACAATTTTTTTCACACGTCTCGTTGAATTTTATATGTTTTATTTTATACATAGTCTCTTATTTATTCTTTGCAAATAATTTTATTCTTTATTGACATTATACTTTTGAGGTAATTTATCCGGTTCTTAAGCCCTGACAATTGTTATACTATTTGAGAGATCGTACGCGCGACATATCGTCGGCCTAGATTTGGAGCGCTCCACTTGCGCTAATGTTTAAAATGAGAAAATCAACATTTGAAGTTTAAAATCAAACATATAGGAAAAACTTATTGATCAATTTTGGACATAGCTATAACTTTGGCAAAAATTTTAATCAAACATATAGGAAAAACTTATTGATCAATTTTGGACATAGCTATAACTTTGGCAAAAATTATAGTTTTATTGATATATACTGGGAATAATAAGTTTATCATCCACTTCTAACTCAAAAATTTTGAAAATTTCGAGCGGAGCACTTCCAATTCTAAGACCCACGATATAATAATTTGAAAACCTTTTTGTATATATATATTTTTATTTTGAACTTCCTCTAGGTTTACATGAGCGACATTTCCGAGCACGCTTTTTCTCTACCTCCCAGCGTCAATATTTGCTTGATATCCAAAATACCTAACGGTAAACGAATAATTTTGTATATTACATAGTAGTAGTATAGTCACCTCGAATATCAGCCCTGGCCCTGGTTTATCGAATTAAATTTTTCCGGTTTCATATTTCGTGCAAAATTAATATATAATATAAATATTTATCACCTAAGCCTCGAGATATCCCAAATAAGATGGCAGAAAGGTTTGGGGCCCTCTTGACTAAATCTAGAGTTACTTGGGTAATAAAAAAATTTTTTGGTTTTAAAAAATCTTGATTTGCGCGTTATAAGTTTTCTAAATTATTATTATGTAAGATAGAAAAATTTTTTTTTTCAAAGTATATTCATAACTCGAACAAAGTTTTCACAGAATTTTAATGATTATAATAATTTTAAATATTTAGTTACAACGTATTAATTTTTTTTTTCTTTAGGTTCTAATCTTTAAAACAAAGATAATCAAAGCATTCAATTATAAACCAGAGATTGAAATGCTATTCAAAATAAAAAATATTTTGATCTCTGAAGATTATTTTGTGAATGCTCGCTCATAATCTTTTGTGATTCTTTCATAATTTTGTGATCTTTCAAAAGATTTGATCCTCATCTTTTTTTTTTTGGAACTGATTTTAAACATTCGTTAGCAAAATGTAAGATGAAGATTACGTGTAAAATTTTCACTTTACAATCCTACACTTTAACATATACATTTTTATATATTATATTGTATAAAAATAAAAAATGAACGAATCTCCAGTCACTCCCATAAAGCTTTGGGAAGTTTGGGAAATTTTTAGGGAAAGTTTTCTATCACTGGGTTCGGTCCTCATAATGCAACCGCCTTCCGTGAGACGCGAAAGCAATATAGTTTGCCTCTTAGACGACAAAACGTTCTCCAAGGATCAAGGCTACAAGCTGGTCGTGGCCAACAAACAAGTTTATTGCAATGATTAAAATTAAAAGATAATAACCCCTTCGTTTAACGACGGCTAATTATACAAAATATGCTAGATATTTTTTGTATTTCTGATTGACAATTTAAAAATGATTATCCCTAAGACCAATAAGGGGGATTCGTCGAAATAAGAGACCAAATAATTTTTACGAAAGAAGATGGTTTATTACAGTTTATTTACCAAATTATATAAGAATACTCTAATTAATTTATTTAAATTATTTCCTTATTTGCATTAAAACTAATGATGGGTTACATTTTTGTGTACCCGAAATAGCTTAATTAATTTACTCGATAAAAGTTTTACTATAATTTAAGCTGCTCGATTTTTAAATATATTTTTTATTAACATAAAATCTTCTTTCTTTCTTTCTTTCTTTCTTTCTTTCTTTCTTTCTTTCTTTCTTTCTTTCTTTCTTTCTTTCTTTCTTTCTTTCTTTCTTTCTTTCTTTCTTTCTTTCTTTCTTTCTTTCTTTCTTTCTTTCTTTCTTTCTTTCTTTCTTTCTTTCTTTCTTTCTTTCTTTCTTTCTTTCTTTCTTTCTTTCTTTCTTTCTTTCTTTCTTTCTTTCTTTCTTTCTTTCTTTCTTTCTTTCTTTCTTTCTTTCTTTCTTTCTTTCTTTCTTTCTTTCTTTCTTTCTTTCTTTCTTTCTTTCTTTCTTTCTTTCTTTCTTTCTTTCTTTCTTTCTTTCTTTCTTTCTTTCTTTCTTTCTTTCTTTCTTTCTTTCTTTCTTTCTTTCTTCTTCAAGTTATTATTTTAGGCCCCGTTAGATAGTGTTGTTAAAAAGCCCGCCCGATTAAGATTTTAGCTAAATTGATATTATGTAAGCTTCGAGATTTGGCAAAATAGATGTCCAAGCATCTCTGCCAGCTATGCGCATGCGCAAAATCTTTAGGCTTCCATAATGCTATTTTGGTTATAATCTTAATCGGGCCGTTTTTTTTATAAATCGATCCTAATCGGGCATTTTAAACAATACTACCATAAGAGAAGATCAAATGTCCGTTCAGCGTTGGACGCGTCTCGTTCTAGAAAATAAAAGGCGTGACGCGTCCCGTCCCCTAAAAGATTAAAAGAGGAGACCGGTGTTTACCCTACATTAATTATCTTGTGGATAGCCCTCAAAAAGAAAATATTTATAATCTTTTTTATGACAACTAGAAATGGATTGTTTATTGATTAAAATCAATTTTCCAGTTATTGCTAGGGGTTTTTTTAGAATACGTTTTTAAGGTGCTAGCGGTTAGAGATTGGCGCAACCTAAAAGCACGCGGACCGAGCTGGAGCTTAGAATTAGCCTTTTTCCTTCATAAAGGCCGGGTCGGACGACTCGTAAAAACCTGATACCATTTTAAGGCGATTGATGGAACCCATCCGTTACTCATAATTCGGCTCGGTTTGGGGCACCGGTTTTATGAAACTCGGCTCGGTTAGGAAAATTCGTCGGTATCAGAGCCTAAACGCGCTTTTTACGCGAATCTTTTTTGATTGAGGGAGGGGAGGGGGGGGAGCTGGAGAGTTACGATTTATTTTTATCAACAACTATTTATATTTTTCAATTTTAATTTAGATAAAATTGATAGCGAAAGATGTCCCGGGAATGTATTACGGTATTTCGTCACTCAGGGAAATTTTAAGAGCCTCGCCCGATTTCATTCTACCCAAGTTTTCTGTAAGAATAACCACGCCATTTTTTTTTAAGATAGTTTCATAAATATCATTTTTGGATTCTACCGCTTAGGCGCTTCACTCCTCATTCTATCAATTATGATTCTGGTGCATGCCGACTTGTCCGTTTTTTTTCTAAAGTAGAATAGTGAAGATAACGGTTGCCACGGTCCTCGAATTAAATAAAGGTCCTAAATAAAAAAGACCGGTACAGGACCGGTTAATTTTTGGTTATTTTGGATATATATTATCGTTTTTACACCTAATATAATTCTTGTTTTCGTCATTTTTTTTAAATATAATACTTTATTTAATGTTACCAATAATATCAAATCGAATATATGTATAAAATGATAAATATCACGAATAATGCTTTTTTTTGGCAAACTTTTGGTTTTCATATTAGTAATATTGCAAAAGGAAAAAGGAAATAACAAAAACTAAAGTAACTCCTCCTAGGAAAGTATTATAAAATAAAATATACGTTGAATAAGTTGGGCAAACTTAAATAATAATAAAAGACAAAAAAATAATTAAAATATTGGTCCGTCAATCTGTCCAGATCTAACCGACAGGACTGTTGACTAGTGTTGTTGAAAAAACCCGATTCGGGTTAAAAATGACATTATATAGGACTAAAGATTTTGCACACAGCTGGCAGAAATGCTTGGACATCTACTTGCCAAATCTCGGTGCTTACGTAATATTATTTTTTAGCTAAAATTTTAATCTGCCCTTTTGAAGAATCGGACTTTTTAACAACGCTACAGCTGGCATCCGTTAAAGTAAAACATCTCACGAGATGACGATCGCGTTTATCTAGAGCTGATTTTATTTGATTAATTTTTGAGTTCGTATACTCTGACCTAAGTTTCAAAAAAAAGAATAATATGAGAAAACATTTATTATCATAAAAGAAAATAAAGTTTAAATTTGGCGGCCAGAATGCGGAATCATCGAAATTGGCCAAAAATCCAGGAAGTGCAAACCAGATGTTTTTTAAAAAAATCTTAGAAACCGTGAGCGAAATTTGAAAAAATAATTGAGAACCGGACCCATAACCCTTATTAATTTTAGGTTCTAAACTGCCGTTCTAATAAATTTGATATCGGATACTTTATAAAATTTATCAGTTATTATAGTATTTAGATGTAAAAAAGTATTATTATAAAGGATACATTGAAGTGTATCTTTTGACAACCCTGATATTTATACGTATTTTTTTTTGCTTTGTTTGAATAGATAATAGATTGGCCTGTCTATCTTAACAGAGGGATTTTGCTAGATATATCGACCGGGAGAATTCCGAAAATCGGTTATTTGACGCGAATGATTGACTTCTTAGCGGGACTCAAGATGAATAAAGTTTCTTTTTTAAATCGTTTTTTTTAAAAATATATTGAATATGATTTAGTAATTTTCTTTGAACGGCTTTGAAAGCATTAAATCAGAGACCTGCGGTCCGGGCCTGAAAATATAAAATCCGGGCCGGACCGTTCAAATGGTACCTCTGCAGGTCACTGCTTTAAATCCTTAAACATTTTGGCGCGTTATTGTTTGTTTCCGATTTCTTTTGCTCTCTGTTATGTTAGTGGAATGGTTACCATTTTTTTTTTGACCTGGCAAATTTTACGTTTAATATTCTATTTTAAAATATACTTCTCTTTTTTGATCGATCTTTTATAGATATTTATCAGCTGTTATATAGTAATCATTTTCGCTGAAAAGGAACCTTATTTACATCTTACGTTTTTATAAATTTTTCCATTGCGGCCATTTTAAAATGAATTTTGTAGAAAAGCCCTTATAAAATATTCCATTATTTAAATGTGAATAATACGTTAAAGAGTAATATTTGTTTTTTTGTCGTTATTGTTTGATAAAGATTTTAATTTTATTATATTTATATATTGAAGAATTTTTTATAATATGCAAATTTTAATTATTTAAGAGTTAACGAAAATTGAAATGTAAAAAAGATAAAGTGTTTAGGTTGATACGTAAATTTTAGCATTTAAAAGTAGTATAAATAGTGAAATCGAAAACAGTTTTATAATTTTTACTTTATATTTTTAGTTATTTTTTTTTTACTTTATAGTTTTATTTTATTTTTATATTTTAATGATTTTTAGTGTTGTTAAACGGCCCAATTTGAGCCGATTTCTAATCAATATTAAATCTAAAAAATTATTATACAAGCCTAAAAATTTTGCGCATAGATGCCACAGAGGATTTAACATCTATTGGCGTAATCTCGACTCTTAGGCAATATTGTTAGCCGTTTTTAAGGCTCATATCGAGCCCTTTAACAACACTAAATGATTATCGAGTAACTATATATATTTAATAATTTTATTTGTTATCCTCAAATCTCGATCTTAATTATTAATTAAATTTGAAGTGGAGATGAATTTCTCTCTAATTTAAAAATTTCGAATTACAATATGTTTATATTTAAAATGTAATGAATTTAAAACACGTTTAAATTCCTAATCTTCTCATATAAGGAAAAATATTTTCTTCGAATTTTTCTAAGATTTACCTCAATCACCGATTCGACGTAAGTTCGTCTTCCTGTGACAATGCGTTGTCTCAATGGCAGGTGCCTTATTCTGCCATGGATATCCTATTCCTCGAAAGGTATTGTCAGGAATGTTGCATTCAATTAGTTCCGGCCATAGATATTACCGCTATGACCCCCGATAAAGATGCGGAGACGAACGAGTCTAATTATAAATGCGGGAATTTTCGACTGGAGCCGGTCAGGCAGTTTTTGGATAGCTTTACCAATTGCAAGTAATTGTTAGCGTTTTGCGTGGTATATAAACAAATTAGTAAGCTTCTAAAAAAAAGGAGCGTATTTGTACGAATAAACTGAACAGGGGAGAAAATTAAAATAATTATGGAATTTTGAATTTATCCATTTTTGTTGACCTATTGTCATCATTCCCCTCTCGATTTATTTCCTTCTCTCGCTTAGTCTTAAAGCGTCTTCCAGTCAATGACATATAATAATACCTAGACTGACGATGCATTCCTTAAAAGTGTACATCGATGAAAAACAGCTGGGGACGCCATTTTGGTTACCCATATCATTAAAAATTTTAAACGAGAGGCCAATATTATTTCCAACATTTTATTAAAGAATTGCCTGATCATCAAGATAATAAGGATGCAAGTTATCAATTTAATATTAGTTTTTAACTATGAGAATAATTATTATACGGGCGCATTATTATGAATGCAGCGTCAGTCTAGATATTATTATATGGCATTTCTTTCAGTTCGGTAAAAATTATGATGGAAATTTGCGAAACAAAGTTTAACCGCCCGATGTCTTTCCTAACACCAACATTTGCCAGATGCTTTTTAACCCCCCACCCTCCCTCTCCCTAGCTCGGGTAGAAGGTAAGATTCTATCCCTTTTCCCTTGTAAATGCTTGCACGCACTTCTCTTTATTTTTGGTTATTTATAGAGAAATATACGTGGGCCAAAACTTTGCCAAGGCACTTTTAGATCAAGATTCTTCCGCCACCAATGGGAGCACTCCCCTCGCTTCCCTCCTAGCCACTTTGCTCGGGATCAATAATAACCAATCGATAATTATCGATTCAGAAAATATCGATTCCGCTAAGCGGGGGGAGAGTAAATTCTTCGACGTAGCATTAGCTGAAAAAACGCTGGATAGTTTGGGACCCGACATTGCCGTAGGAGTCCGATGCGGATACGTGAGTTTTTTTTTTTATATATTTAAATTACTTCGATTAGGTTATGATTATTTAACTTAAAATTTTACAGGCTGCTTATTTGCACGTTACTTTAATACAATCTTCAAAAAAAAGTCTCAGTTATTAAGTGCACAATTTTTGTTTAAGGGCTATTTTATTATTTTTATCCCCAACACATCAAAATCGATACATAAAAAATACATTTATCATTAAACAGGATCATTCGAGCAAGAGAGTCGAAGCCCTGTCTGAATTCTTGAAACAAAATGGGTACGGTATTTTACATCCGATAAATTTGTATTTTCTTATTATAATCCACACAGATGTTAGCATTCAAGCTAGAAATTCAAATATTTAGCTTAATACCAACCTGGGCGTCATTATTTTTTACTATCAAAAGGATAGGGGCTCAAAAATTCTCTTTTAAAAAATCAGGGGGCTCTTCACATCTTTCAGGGAGTTTGAGCCCCACTTACCACCCTAGTGACACTACCGCCAACCTGTAATATACACCTAAATATATATATCTCGTAACTATGTCTTTATTTGTAGCGTGACTCACACACTTTGCATAGATAGCGTTTGGGGTCGTTCCCTGGCGGGCAACTGTAAATCGGATTTTCCTGTCCAAATCCTAAAATCCCATTATAACGAACAACGTAAGAAATCATCTTTAACCGAAAATCCGCATAGTAATGACACGAATTATCACGAAAATGGGTCCGCTAACACTAACGAAGATTCGCCGCAGAATATTACTCACATCATACCTGATTCATGTTCGATCAACGAGAACGGCGAAATTTTAGGAGCCATACATTGCTTGTGGACAAACATGCCCAATTTTGTGGATCATTTATTCAGTTGGCCAACTATTCTAGCACTTTCCACTTATCTTTGGAACGGAACCATTGTCCAAGTTAGTTTTTATTTTATATTCTACTTAGAACTCTTGGAAATATCTCAGCGGGTTTATCTAGCACTATTGAGTGAAATTATCACTGGTTCAAATATAAATACATTTCTTTCTCTTTTTTATTTATTAAAAATTATTACTTATTCACGGTAATATATACCGTTAATTTGATTTAGTTTGATAATAAGATATATCCGGGATATGAATTCGGGGTTAAACGAATAATTCGATTCGATATTTTTAAATTCCTAATTTACGAAATAACAAAATTATTTTTCGGATACTTTTTATTCGTTGAAATAATTTAAATCTATCATTTAATCTAAAATTATTTTATAATATTCGTATATATATTGGTAAATTTTAACCATTTTAAAGTAATAATACTATTTCATAAAAAAAATGGCCGACTATACAATTTTTTACAGATTTTGTCGATTCCTTTAAACACAGGTTTAAAAATGTTTTGAGAAAATGGCACCCATGTAAAAAAAAATTTTTTAAATTTACCGCTTCAAAAATGAACGCGATTTATTCCCCACACCAGTGAACCCATTTTAAAGTGAATCTATTTTAATAGTGGCTGGTGCGTCCCAGGCAATGACATATAATAATACCTAGACTGACGATGCACTCATTAAAAGTGTACATCAATGAAAAACAGCTGTGGACGCCATTTTGATTAATTCATATCATTCTTAAAAAAATATTAAACGAGAGGCCAATTTATTCCTATGTCTGACGCAAACTTTAATAAAGAATCGCTTAATCATCGAAAGCAGCAAGTTTTCAATTTAACGATAGTTTTTAACATGAGAATAATTATTATTCGAGTTCCTCAAAATGACGGGTCCAGCTGATTTGCGTTGACGCTTTCAAATGCGTTATTAAGAATGCATCGTCAGTCTAGGTATTATTATCTGTCATTGGTCCCAGGTTTGTACGCCCTAATTATTGAAAGCAAACTATTTTACTACCTATCTCGGGCCAGGACTACGGGTCTGATATACGGAGAATTTCGGAAAATAATTTTTTTTTAGAGTGAAACGACAATAATAAAAATTGTAAAGATTATGACCCCCCTCCTCCCCTCCCCACCTTAAGCCCTTAAAGCTCTTAACCGATATAAAACGAAATTTTGTAATTTATACAAAACGAAGAGATGGAGAAATTACTAACGCAATAATGGAAGGGAACATTCCCGGCAATTTAGTAAATATTGCCATTAAATGTTCCCTAAAACAAAACTATTTCTTACAAGAATCCCTGGGTAGGGGCGTGGGGAATTATTCCCTTAAATTCTCATTTTAAGGTATCATTATTAATAAAAAAAAAACTTAAAATACATTTGCGAAATATTTTCCATATCAGAATATCCTAATTTTCCTTAGCCAGCTAGTTTTAAAGGTGCCAGGTATTTTTCAAAATTCGACTCTGCTAATGCCTACTTACAGTTAAAGGTTAGCGAAGATACCAGTAAACTGTTGACTATAAACGACGCAGAAGGGATTTGTTCAACTTTAAACGATTACCATTCGGGTTGAGTGTGTCTGCGCCAGTTTTCCAAATAACGATGAATTCAATTTTCCAAGGAATGGTAGGAGTTTTTTATTATATAGGTGATCTGTTGATTAGTGGGAGGTCAATGGAGGAACATAATTAGATGAGGTATTACAACTTATAAAAATGAGAGAAACGCGTGAAAATAGGGAAAAGAATATGCTCGGAGTTATCCGGGTAATATATTTAAGGACATATAATAGAAGACAGAGGAGTCATTCCATTAAGCAAAAATATTGAGAGTATAAAAAAATATGCCGCCGCCAAAGGACAAGAAGGAGTTGCAATCATTTATGGGAATGATTAAATTTTATCATCGATTTATTGAAGTTTTTGCAGAGATAGCCACTCCATAATATGATTTGTTGATAGATAATACAGCCTTCAGGTGGTTGGAGATTCAGGAAAGGTGTTTTAACGAGTTGAAAGTTAATTTATTTTGTTTTGGTAGTAATTTGGAGATGATTTTATCAGCTGATACTTCTGCAAAGGGGGGGGGGTGGAGAAGCTCTATTACAAATTTTGGACAAGGAGGAAAGGCCCGTTATATTTTTTTCGCGAAGATTCAGATCGGCGGAGGTGCACTATTCTGTTATCGAAAAGGAGTAGTTGTCGGTTATATTTGCACTCGTGAAATGCCGATAGTATCTGATAGGGCGTAGATTCATTATATATACTGACCACAAACCATTTTGCTGTCTCCTAGACTGTAGAGGTACTTTATAGACTGGGAAAGATTAATCATTTGCCAGATGTGTTATCCCGATTATATATCGAGGATGAAGTAGTGAAACAAGGATGAGGATAATTATTACAATGGAATGATTAGGAAATTACCCTTCAGGAATGGTTCAGTGACTTGACAAGAAATAAAACAAAGCACGCTAAATTATGAGGAGTTGAAAAAAAATTAAGCAATGTTTAATAGGAGAAAAAAATTGGGAAAGGAAAGATAATCCATACAGATTGGTGGAACAGGAAATAAAAATTACAGACGGCTGTTTGGTGCGGGGTAATAGAACTATAGTACCGCGAAGATTGAGGGATAAAATAGTCAAAATTCTTCATGCGGGACATCAAGGGGTAAGTAGAATGGAACAATGGAGTAGAGAATATGCTTGCTGGCCATCAATGCAGAAGGATATTCGAAAGGTATGTCAAATCTAACAAGTGGGAGGAAGGGTAATAGCTGGAAGGAAACTAGACAGGCATGTAAACGGATACATTTGGACTTTTTTTGAATGGGAGAAGAAGTATTATTCTCTTATAGTGGATCCTTTTTTCCAAATGGATTGATTGCCCAAAGGTGTCGGGATTAACGTTAGTTATAGTTATACGAAGATTGAAAGAATTTTTTGGGAAGTATGGAATGGTAAAGATGATAGTAATTGATGGGGGAATGGCGTTTACAAGTGTAGCGTTTAAGGCGTTTTGTGAGATGTACTGTATCAAGCATGTTATCACGGCTCATCATCCCAGTTCGATAAGGAAGGCCGAGAGTTGCAGTGGTGAAATCGTAGTTGGAAAAGGAAAAGTGTGATTACAGTGAAAGATGGTTATCTCAAAATTGTTCTACAATAATAGCAGGAATGAAGATGAGTCTCCGGCGGAAAGATTTTTTGCGAGGAAAGACGTGATTCGTAAGGAAGGGGGAAATGAAAAGGCCGGATACGTAGCGAAGTCAATTATGCCTGGTACAAGAAATGTATGTTTTGATGTTCAAAGGAAAATTCAGATGAACGATTGGAAAGGTGTAAGAAATAATTGGCAGTAGGAAATACAAGGCTAAAGTGGAAAACGGAATAGTGTATTGTGGTCAAGTCAATTGAGGATGTTGTAATCATGATTATATGAGAGAGGGATATAGTGATTTATGTTAAAGAGTGTTAGGTATTTTGATAAATTAATAACGTTTTTCTTTATTATTGTTTTAAAAGAATAAATTATGTAAAAAAAAATGTAAGAAAAAAAAAGGCGATAGTATTATCATCATTATTTTTATACGTTTGTTTTTTTAAAGTATTCGATATTTGAATTCTTGCCAGTAGAACCATATATTCCACGTTTTATAAATTGAACTAGTAGCTCTTATATATTGTAATCTAAGGAATTAATATAATTTAATTTAAAATTATATCAAAATCTTTCGTATAAAAATAATAATAAAACATTTGTCACCTTTTTTTCTTCTTCTTTATATACACATTCTCTTGTAAAGCAATAATAAACAAAATGTTATTTATTTATCAAATACATAACACTCTCTAATAGTGTTGTTAAAAGGCTCGTTTTGAGCCGATTTTTTTTAAAACCACTAACTCAATGTTTTAGCCAGAAAAATGTTGCCTAAGCCTCGAGATTTCGATATGTCTAGAGACCTTTGTTCACTTCTATGAGCAAAATCTTCAGGCTGGCGTGATATTTTTCTGGATAAAATATTGAATAACATAAATCACTATATCCCTCTCTCATACAATCATGATTACAACATGGGCTAAGAGGCCCGAAAGCTGAGAAAAGGCGGGACCTAAAGCCAGGTTTTGTATATAATTTGTGTATTTCAAATTCTTTTATCATATTTCTTAAAATTTTTTTTTTGATATGACAGTTATTTAAAAAAAATGTCTACACTGGTTTTTAAAATAATTATACGGGTTCGATTCGCCTCCTTAACCATTTGGTATAAAAGTTCGGTTACAGTTTTAAGAAAGGCCTCATTCCACTATAACCAGTGTTGGTTGTGCATGTTTAAATTAAAACATTTCCATATTTTTCTTTTGACAATTTTATTTTCTATAAAATTAAGAAATGCGAAAATGTTTTCCATCAGATCTGATCAACACTTTAATTCATTCCTGATTCCTTTGTTTTAAGAAGATTAAAAATAGTGTTATAAATTTATGAGAATTCTTTGTTAGAATCAATTTTGAATGAACTTACCCCTCCCTACTCGTTTTCCGATAAAATTATACTAAAGTGGGTCAAACTCAACTTTAGGGGGGGGGGAGAGATGAAAGAGTTTTCTTATTTACATATTTGAATACGTGGGAAAATTAACTCCTTTCATATTTCAGCTTATACACCTTTCTCTTATCTTCTCTTCGAATAACATTTTCGCTAAAATTTACATAACTTTATCTTTATAAACATCATCCGATCTGAAACAGACGACATTTCCGTTTCCTTTTAAATTTTTAAAAAAATTCGTCACATTTAAAAGCTGTTAATATCACGTACGTAATACAACTCACAAACTTTACTTTTTAATTTTAAAAAAAATTGATTTTAACTTGTACTAACTTTTTTACTTTACATATTAATTTAAGTTATTATTATGCAAAGGTCATCCCTTTGTTATAGATCATTATTTTACGTTTAAATTAGTTTTTGCTATTATATAAATGTATTACTATAAACATCGGTTGGTCTGTAAGTATAACATC